GATCTAGAGAGAACTACTACTACTAGACTATTTTACCTTTATATATAACTAAAGGATAAATAGTAATACCTTTAGTAGATATATACTTAATAATAAATACCTAGGCTTATAATCTAGGCTGTTTTTTTTTTACTACCTTTATTAAAGCCTTACCTAGTACTAGCCTATTATTACCTTTACCCTTAAGGATACTAGTCTTATCTATATTATATTTATTAGCTAGTTTAATAGCTTAGATATAAGGTATAGTAAGATATTTAAACTAGTCCTTAATAACCTTAGTAAATACCTTATTAATATACCTTAAATTAATAGATTAACTTCTCTAGACCTTAATAAATAGGTTTCTTTAAATAAAGCTATCTACTTACCTTTTGCCTAGAGGTTAAGTATTCCCTATAGCTTAGAGAATACAATAAGTAAAGTCCTTTAGTTATTAATAGGTTAGTAGGTACCTAAGGTCTACCTAGGTAGTTACCTAACTAGCTAGGCTAGCCTCCTAGCTAGTTAAAAGCCTCTAGAGGTCTTTAAATACTGCTTTCCTTAGTTAAGTACCTCTTAGTTAATACTAGAGGGTTATTCGTAGGATACTATAGATAGAAGCTACCTAGACAACACTATAGCTGTTTTTAATAGCGTTAATTACTTAATTAATCTTATCTTTAGTATACTAAACTATTAATATATAAAGAAGGTATCCTAAAAAAATAAAGTAATTTAATAAAGGTTAAAAAAAGTGGTAGTAGTTTAAAGTTATAGATATAGCTGTTAATGGGGTAGCTGGGCGGCATTTTTGGTATGCCGAAATGTGGGGGGTGCCGAAAAGTGGGTGGGTTGACTTATTGCAAACAGCACAGCACTAAATAGGTAGGTAGACCTATACAAATGAATCAAACCTAACACTAGACTGTCCCACTTCCTAACAAGTATGATTTCTGTCTTTGGTCTTATTTGTATAAAGAAAAACACTTGTTAATAATCTGGTGGTAGATGTGGTGCGAGAAAGTACTTAACGTGGGCCATTGTTTGTCATGTGGGCGGATGGGTAACCCAAGCTCAGCTAATGCCCAAGACACGTCTCAGTTTCCAATCACGAGTACCTTATTCCCGTATTTTGAGCAAAGTGTTGAAAAAGACCTTTGATAAAAATGAAGGAATATCCTATACCTAGGTAGACGAAGAAAGAAGAGATAAAGTCATCGGCAGCAGGGCTGGCAGGGCTGAATATCCTGGCCAAGAGAAGACCAGGCGGCGGCCTATGCCACCGCATTACCGGTTATCAGTAGCGACCTATGCGCTTCTATGAATATCAAGAGAGTCAACTTAATACAGAGAGATTCCAAAGCTTCCGTCACGGGTCCAGGCCGAAGGCTTATCAGCGCACGTTGCTATATATCCACAATCGGCCTATCTAGTATGGGGTAGTTGTATTCTCCTTGGGGCAGAGAGAGCGTTGCCGGCAGCCACTGACCGCCGGCTCTTGTTTAGCAGAGGCTTCTGGCTTATTGGACGTTGCGAAAAGACTTAATCCGGGGGTGTAGTACCATAGCTAAAGCAGACAGCGATTTTTCTACTGTTGGATCTGTTAGCTGTTTGTGAGCATATCGTTGCAAGAACCGTTCTACTTCAATGCCAGCAGTTGCTCCCTCGCGTATTGTTTGGCTATGAGGCGTTCGATTGCTCCGAATCTTCAGTATATGAACCATCTCAATGACTATTCGCTCACGAAATGTCCACCACCCACACCTAGAGACCCCGTGCCGGATACATTGTTATGTACTTATGGAACAGCATATTCCTTGGCTATTCAAATGGGGCGGCCGTCTCCTTCCTTCAGATGAGCTCTCCGAAGAATTCTCATAGGCTACGAAGACGGTAACGACCACCAAGATAATTGTTAGGCCACTCAAGCAAAGGAGCCCCATGGGGGGTTGAAAATTCGGGAAAGCGTTGGTCATGTCCCTGTTTTCTTGGGGATCAACCCTTTGTCTCCAAACCTAACCAAGCGGGTTCCCTCGTTCAATCCCTCGAGGCAGATCCCACTTTCAATTCCACTCATATGTGTACAGTCTTTCGGACTCAACTTTTCCCGGCAACACATAATCAAGTCATTTGAGGGTCAAAGAGAGTATCAAGAGAGGGAATGCCCAGTTACATGAAGGATCACCATCTTCGTCGCGTCCGACCAGCGCGGTCCATTCTCATCTGGTGCCAACTCGCAGCAAGGCCCTGATACGGGACATCCCAAGAACAACGGAGGGTATGAACCAGGAGATGTCAGCGAACGCATGTTGGAGGCTCAATACAGATACAGGGTCAGTTAGGTCGCTTGGTGGTGCAGAAGCCAATCCGGATTAAGTCTTGCCCTTTCTTGGCGGCTTATATCTGGATATTAACTTTTTATGGATTGAAAATGCCATGATTATCGACACTGGTCCTCACCGTTGCAACATCCTCCTGATTACGCCTGGTTTTAACGGGGGCCTATGGAATGAAATGTAGTGTAACACGAACGGGGGAAAATCTTCAAAAAATAAAAATAAAATAAAAATTGTCAACTCTAAGCAAAGCAACTGAAAAAAGACTAGTCAAGCCGAGTTTGCTGTAACATGCGGGTTCTGTTGCAATCCAATATAGACTTAGTATCCAGGCTATAGACTATTGGTTTTCTTGAAATTAAACTGTTGGTTTGACTAGTTACAGGTATCCTATTGCAACTGGTGTGCAGCGATTGCTTCAAAATCGTGCGGTGTTACTATTGCTGCATGGCTTGCTAATCCGACTGCTGTCCAGCTCTCCAATTCCGACATGGAAGTACTTTGTGAATAGCTTCGGGGCAAATGACCAACCACATGGTCATGGTTCGCCTAGGCCGGGTGGTTTTGGGAACCCCTACGTATTAAACACCGCCCTCGTTGCACACTATAGCCTATCCGGAACCAGCGCATCTTAGTCTTTGAGATTTGTGCCGGCAGATCTGCTTTCGCAGAGCGCCGCCTGGCGTTTTCCAGATCCGTCCGGGTTTGGTGGATTGGCGAAGTCGGGTTCAAGGTGAACGTCAGGGCAGAGACCTGGATCGGGAAAAGCGGTCTTTTTGACTTTATCGGATCGACTAGGAGGGAATCCCATGCCGCCACACCATGGCGCCGGCAAAGCGCTCCGAAGCGCACTCGGTCCCCGGCACCCATGAGCCGCCTCCCTCCCCAGGACGAGACGGTACCCGAGTGCGGGAGGTCCATTACGACGCGTAACGCCGTGTTGGTGCGGACTTCTTGTGTCTGCCGTTCCCCGCGGGTGCCAATGGCTTGGTTACAGTATGTACAACAAGGTTGGCGGCTTCTCTCGGCACGGATAGAAACCCAATCCAGGCAGGCCCCTTCAGGTATGTAGCATCGCAGGCCGAAAGACTACCCAAGCGTGGGCCATTTCTCCCACTGGCGCGTCACTGACAGCTTGCATGACCAGCCTGGGGGCCTGGGCGTCGACCGGGGAGCATGGCTCTGCCCTGTCGCGACCGAGATGTATAGGGTAAACTTGTGTTTGTACACACGCACAAAGCCGCGGGCCGCACATCACGACCCCGATTCACCGATTGCCCGTGACGGAAGGGAGAGGGACCGAGATATTGCGCAAAGAGGGCAGGCAGGCAGTCAAAACTGGCTTATCGGCGTTAGGTTCGTCGGTTACCGTGGTGCGCACATCTCTCCCACCCCCTTCGGAATAGAGCGGAAGGGCTGAGCCCCATGGGGTAAGTGAGAGGCCTATCACTGGAGGCCGCCCCTCTTGAGATCCAAGGACGGATGCGCGATGCGGCACGCGGCCAAGGGAGGAACCGGGCACCGGACGAAGTAGTTAGGTTTCACACGTGGGTTCACGCGGGGAAGGGAAGGGAATACATGCATTACCGGCGATGCAGTCGACCGGTCTCGCCACCATAAATCCAGCCTCGGGTGCTCGTTCATCCACGGTCCTGTAGTGGTGGTGCACTAGGCGTCAGCCAAGTCAAGTAGTGACTAAGTGGTGATGGGGTCGACTGGGAGCTTGTGAGGTCGTTGAGAGGGGGCATTGGTGTCCAATACGAGCTCCGTGAACAGTAGATTTTACTTGGGTATGTACGTTAGGTTGCGAAGGAGTATCACTATCTTGAGACCGTTGACTTGGACATCAATATCAAGACCAGCATCCGCATCATCTCGTCGCGGGTAGCAGTATTTCCCAATCATCGACCCCCGGGAATCCCCGTATCGACCGCGGCCGACATAAAACGCGTGGCCCCGTCAGAAGCAAGTTCCAAGGCTCAAAGGAGCTCCTAAAGGGGGCTTTTCACCGCTTGGCACGCCGGAGCACTAAGATAACTGGTCAGAAATCAGTGACCAAGACCGTCTGACGGTTGCTTCAGACAGACTGACGGGCTGGATCAGCCAACCCCCTGACGCCCCTGGGAGAGTACACGTTCCGCATTTGGCCGATGCATCGTTCCCGCGCCCCCCACCGCGAAAATTCTAGATGCCGAGCTGGAACAGTGAAAGCAAAGCAATGGTAATAGGTGGTCGGCGGTGTGTGTATGTGTGTGTATGTGTGTGTGTGACTGTGTGTGACTGTCTCTCTCTATTGTCACTACTAGCGTGTATTTAGGTATTAGAGTACCTTGAGATCATCATCATCATCATCATCATCATCATCATCATCGCCTACTCTGTTTTGTTCTTCTCCACGAGCACCTTTCGATAACCCTGGATACCGACTTGTGTGATTCATATCCGTTCTCATACGATCGATCCTCTTACGATACCAATCAGACAATATCTTGGTGACTGCGCACACTCGTACACAATCACGACCAGTCTGCAGCATTCGGACCCAAAATACAGCACTTGTTACTCGCAGACGCGAGATTGAGTCGACCCTGGATAGGGAGAATCAAGATAGACAGCCCAGGCACACACATACACATACAATAAAGCCAGACACACGGCCAGACCAGCCGGACAGCCGCCAAGATGAACCGCCCCTCGCGCAACGACGACATCACCCTGGAGCATCCCGACTGGAACCAGAACCCGCCCTTCCTCGCCGCCGACCTGACTACCTGCGAGGACCTGAACGGCATCGCCAACGCCCGTGAGCAGCGACGCGCCCGGGGCGGCGCCGGCGACGGGTCCGACGGCCGGGGCGACGACATGAATTACCAGACCCTGCCGCATTTACGGCCCGATCGGAGGCCCCCCGTTTCGGGAGGGCGGAACTATAGTGAGTTTCTTTCATCTTCTTTTCCGTTTCTCGCCCTTTTTTGATGGGGTAGACGAGCAATGTCACCACACGCGCCCATCGATCGACCGCCCTTCAATGTCTCAGGACAGCGTGGCCGTGTGCTGGCGAGCCCCTCTCACCGCTCTCGATGTGCGCATGCGCAGACAGCCATCATCACCACCACCACCACAACCACCTCACAACATGGCAAATGATGCACACAGAACGCTGACCCGTCGTCCCAGGTTTCCGCCCCCGAAACAGAAAGGTGCATGGCGGTGACGGCCATACACCTCTCCTCTGGGCCTCTGCGCCCGCCCGCTCCGCCCTCTGGGGCTGGGTGAGCTGGACCATGTCCGTCCTTGGCTGCTCGGCCATCATCTCTGCTCTCAGGAGCCCCGAGGCCGTTGTCTCGTTCCTCGTCGCGTCTCATCAGACCGCTCACTGTAAGTCGGCATCCCTCTCCATCAGTCTCGTGCCCTCTCGCCACGGCCGTGGCTCATTCACGATTCATCTCACCCCCGTCCCACCCATCATGACATCTCACCCATTACAATATCTCGCCCGTCTCACCTCTCACGGCATAAGCTGACCCTCCAGCCGTCGTCAAACGCTCCGCCCGCCCCGTCCGCCGCTCGACCTGCCCGACCGGCGGCCTCGGCGACGAGGACGCCGCCTACAACACGCCCCTCCACGTCGGCGCCCTCTTCATCATCCTCGCCGTGTCGTTCCTCGCGTGCGCCTTCCCCCTCGCCGCCGCCGCCACCCCGGGCGTCCGCGTGCCGCGCGCGTTCTTCTTCGCCGTCCGCCACTTCGGCACCGGCGTCCTCCTCGCCACCGCCTTCGTCCACCTCCTGCCGACCGCCTTCACCCTCCTCGGCAACCCGTGCCTGAGCTCCTTCTGGGTCGAGGACTACCCGGCCATGCCCGGCGCCATCGCCCTCGCCGGCATCTTCCTCGTCACCATCATCGAGATGGTCTTCCACCCCGGCCGCCACATGGCCTGCGTCCGCGGCAACGGCGCCGACGACGGCGTCCTCTCCCCGCAGAGCGCCGTCTCTCTCAACGACGACAACAGCGACAACGGTCGCGGCCCGCTCGAGATGACTCGGAGCCGCGGCGCCGCCGGCAGCTTGGGCCGCACACTCTCCCGCGTCGGGCGCGGCGACGACCAGCAGGCCCAGACCCAGTCGCAGACCGGCGACAGGCTCCCCAAGCGCGTCGACGAGGCGGCCCGCGCCGCGCGCCTCGAGGCCGCCGGCCCCGTCGTCCTCTCCCCCGCCCAGCAGCACCAGAAGGACATCCTGCAGTGCATGATGCTCGAGGTCGGCATCCTCTTCCACTCCGTCTTCATCGGCATGACGCTCAGCGTCTCCGTCGGCAACGACTTCGTCGTCCTCCTCATCGCCATCGCCTTCCACCAGACCTTCGAGGGCCTCGCCCTCGGCTCCCGCATCGCCGCCATCGACTGGCCCAGCGGCAGCCGCCTCCAGCCGTGGGCCATGGCCCTCGCCTACGGCTGCACCACCCCCGTCGGCCAGGCCATCGGCCTCGCCACCCACCGCCTCTACAGCCCGGACTCCGAGTTCGGCCTCGTCCTCGTCGGCACCATGAACGCCCTCTCCTCCGGCCTGCTCGTCTTCGCCGCCCTCGTCGAGCTGCTGGCCGAGGACTTCCTGTCCGACGAGAGCTGGCGCGTCCTCCGCGGCCGCGAGCGCGTCTGGGCCTGCCTGCTCGTCTTCTTTGGCGCCTTTGGCATGAGTCTCGTCGGCGCGTGGGCGTAGTCGCGTCCAGGTTTGCATAAACGGCCGACGCCGCGAGGGTTGTTTGGTGAACAATCCGTCGGGCTGGGAGGGTCCCCTCGGTCCGTGTCGGATGGGACTTTGTCGGCTATCTTGCGGTTCCGCCGCATCTGAAATGGCGCGGTGAGGTGTCGTTTTGGGAACCCTGACGGAACTACGGAAAAAGAGATGGCGTGGGCTGTCCCTCGAACGCCCGGTCCACAATTGTCGTTTGTCGACGGAAATATGCAGCCAGTTGGCCGGCCTCTGTCTGCCGCTCGAAGCTGGAAGTGTTGACGGTTGTCTGGTGGATGAATTTCGTTCCTTTGAGCCACGTCTTGAGCCACGCCTTGTGAAAGAGGACAGCTCAAAAAACAGACGTGTATTTTTGTTTCCGTCCTTGATCTCAAGGGCTTCCGCTCGTTTGAAGCTTAAAAGGCCACGTGTAGTCATGGCATATAAAGAGGTCTAGGGGAATGCATTAGATAAACAATAAAAGGTTTCTTTTTTTTTCCCTGGCGAACGATGAAGCAGATGGTCCTCCAGCACCCTCTATCACGTCTATTCCAGACTCGGGTCCAGCACGTCGCTCCACAGATGCCCCCTTGCTCTTCCACAACCCAGCCCGGTGCTCAACTCACAAACGTATTCGAGCTGCTCGAGTCCGAAACGTCCGGGCTGCCGCCGAAGCCGCTGTCCCCGCTCCCCGACCGCGCCCTTCTGAAACCTCTCCCTCTCGTCCCAAGCCCGACGGCGGCGGCGGCGGCTTCCACCCCGCGGACGCCGCCGTCCCTCCCCTCGGCAGCGTGCCACGCCCTCGTCTCGTACTCCAGCCGCGCCTCCCGCTCCAGCCTGTCCCTTTCCTCCTTCAGCCGCTGGCCCAGCGCCTCCTCCGTCTGGCTGTGATAAGAGAACCTCTGCGGGGCCGGCGCGGCGTGGAACCCCCACGCTGCAGCGCTGTCGCGCGCAATCATAGCCGCGTGAGAGGCGCAGCACACCGACGCCGTCCACGCCGCGGTGGTGGCGGTCTTGTCGACGTCGCCGCCGCCGCCGCGCGGGGCAGGACACCCCGGGACGGCGCAGGCGTGAGCGCCCTCGCAGTAGCTCCCGTCCGGGCGCGCGGCGGACCGGCACCCGGCGGCGCGGCACTCGTGGGCGGCGCAGAACTGGCTGCCGGGGACGGCGAGGGGGTCGGCTGCGCGCGGCGAGGTGCACGACTCGCGCAGGCAGGCGTGCAGGGCGCAGTGGCGGCCGGAGGGCTTGGCGGGGTGGCCGCAGCCGGCGCCGGCGCACTTGTGGGTGACGCAGTAGCGCGCGACGGACGGGCCGGCGAGGTCGGCGGCGGGCTGCGGGCAGGCCTGGCTGCTGCAGGTGTCTGATGGGGAGCGGGTCGAGTGAGTCAGAGGGTCTTCGCGGCTTGTGATTGATCAAGGATGTCGGGGGAGAAACTTACGGCTCGCGCAGTAGAGTCGCGATGGGTCCGTGTCGTTGTCCTTCTGCTCGCGGCACGGGGGGTAGATGCACTCATGCTGGGGACAGAACCTCACGCCACCTTTGACGATGCCGGGGCAGCCCGGGGCGAGACAGGCGGCTGGGAGATCTGGAAGGAAGAAACCCGCGTTAGTATCTCGACACCGACGTGGCATCCCAGATAGAGAGAGAGAGAGAGAGAGAGAGAGAGAGAGAGAGAGCTCACGCTGCCAACAGACGTCCTCGAACCCGCCGCCCGCCGTGACGGCCCTGGGCTTGCCGCAGCCCTCCGTCCGACAGAGCCGGTGGTCCTTACACCAGTGCCCGCTGTTGATGACGGCGCCACAGTGGCGGTCGGCGCAGCTATGGCCGGCGCAGTAGAGGCCGTCGTCGGTGCGGGGGTGGCCGCAGCCGGGAATGAGGCACAAGGGGGTATGGTGAGTACACATCTGGGAGCCGGCGGCGCGCTTTTGGTGGCATCCCTGGGCGAGGCAGGTATCTGGGAGGGGAGAAAGACTGACAGTCAGCGTGGGGGGATCATTCCATGTCAAGATGTGAGGCCAAAAATGAAAGGGGGGGGGGGGCTCACGTTTCTGACAGTAGGGCCAGTCCTGGCTGGTGTCGCCGCAGATGCGTTGGTGCGGGCAGCCGTGGTTCTCGCAGCGGCGGTCTTTTGCGGTTGAGACCCATCGTCAGCGAGGTGTCACCGGGCAAGAGGGAGGAGGGCCTAAGAAGCGCGTACGGTCTTCGCAGTACTTGGATAGGCCAGACAACTTGTAGTTGGGGCACATCAGCTCGCCCAGCCGTTGTCGACAGGCGTCTGGGGACCAGGGTCAGCACGGGACCTGGCGCGGGAGAGAGAGCTCTCCCGGGGGGGGGGGGACGTTGCTGACGATCCTTGCAGTAGAGCGAGAGAATGGCTTTGCCCTCGCTCTTTGAGTCGCACCGCAAGGCGCGGTGGGAGCAGCCGGCGTACATGCACTGCGGCCGGTGCGGCCGGGGCGGCTGGCGGGGACGGCAGCTGAAGAACATGGCGGCTCGCGTTGTTGGGAGGCTGTAATGACGGTTCGAACCTGAACGGGAGCGAACTGGCTGGTCGAGCGGAGTTGAAGACGCGGTCGGTTTGTCAAGGAGTTTGCAAGATTTGCCACGGATGCGGAAGGTTTCGTGGCATCAGAATCCTAATGATATACGGAGTCATGACAAAGGTCAGGGTCACAGAGACATGGACGCATGGGACGTATCATCGGAGTAACCGGCATATCTCGGACACGTCGACAAGGAAGTCTAGAGTCATAGTCTACTGGGACTAAACTCATGTCGAAGGGGTTCCAGTTAAGGGTTCTCGTGGTTGATCCTTAGACCAGGGGACTCATGAGAGATTTCCGGTCAAGCTGGGATGACAATATTTCACATGTAGAGGGCACCGAATATGCTGACGACCGTGGTGGTTCGCTGGAAAACAGCCTTTGAGAAGAGGCATGAATGGTCATCCATTGTCATGAGATTAGGCAGGTTGCGAGGCAGATATTCTCTGGCGTCAGAGTCGAGCTCGTTTGACGTGCGGAGGCCTCACTGACAATGATGCTAGAGATGTTTCAAGACCGAAACCAACAGCGTGAAATGAAAAGACTAAGACCTTTAGTAAGACAATTTTTGCTAGACAATCGCAGACGCAGTAAGTGAGTACCATGCGCGCATCCAAGCTAGAGACAGACAGAATAAGGGACCAAGGAGCTCAACAGAGACACTTCTTGAACAGTAACATACCGGAGTACCACTCAGATCCAAGATGTAACTTCCGCCTAAATAAGTAGTAGGCAGATATCAAGTCTTGTCTTGTTGCTAATGGGAGGGTGAGATGGTATTATTAGAGGTACTGGGTACTAAGATATTGATATTGTAATATTTGATATTGTAGTATTGAGGACTGGTATACTGGATATCGGAATATTAAAGGTATTGCAGTAGACAGTATCCGTAGATACGTATCGTACGCGCTCCTGCAGGTCCAGAAAGATACGTTCCTGGCCACCCCATGAAGCTAGCCTGAACTAGCCTAGCGTCACCAGCCACCTCGAGTGTTTTGGCCCGTGCGCTACCACGTGCCCCTCTTCGCCCCTCCCCCGCCAATGACACCAGCCACACCAACGACACCAGCCACGCCCAATCGCCGAAATCAAGTTTCCCATCCTTGACGGAGATGATCGTCTACCCGCCATCCCACCAACAAGTCCCTCGTTTGCTCCCTTCCCTCCGCCTCGTCATCCGCGTCCCCCTGGGACCTGAATGCCTCGAGGGGGGAAGTCCGCGAAATCACTGCCGCCGCCGCCGCCGTCGTCATTCACTCTTTCTTGGTTGTATCCCATCTTCCCTCCCTTTCTACCGCCACCCGCGACTCAGCATCAACACATTCATCCACGAGATCCAAGACACGGCCATTGCGCTCTTTTACTCCATAACAAGACCCCCAGAACTGCTTTGACGGCTCAAAGAACTGCACTGCGACGTCCTGCAGAACTGGAACCTCTCGCGACAGCACAATGGCCGACGAGGAACAAGCAGCCCGGCCTCCGGCGCAAATCTACCAGACGCCAGACTGGGAGACGCCCACCGCCAACAAGCGCCGCTCCCTCTTCGATCGCTTCGTTCCGGCATCGGCGACACCGAACCACGGCGTCACTTCCGGCGAGGGTTTTGCCAAGGAGAACAGCACCTCTACCGATTCCCATCATGCCTACCCGGCTGTCCCAGCGGCAGCCGCTGCGACGGCGTCTCCAAAGACGCATCCTTCTCTCCACGCCCGCTTCGACGCCCTGCTGCCCCCCAACAAGACCTACGCCGGCCTCTCCCGCAAGAAGTTCCTGCTCTTCGTCGCCCTCCCCCTCGCCGTCCTTCTCCTGTTCGTCCTGCCCCTCGCTCTGGGCCTCGGCCTCTCGAAGCGCGGCGGCGGCGGCGGCAAGCAAGACCTGCCCCTGCCCACGAACGAGGAGGTCCACACCGGCGACCTGACGTACTACGACGTCGGGCTCGGCGCCTGCGGGTACACGAGCAGCGACAGCGACATGATTGTCTCCGTGTCGCACTACCTCTGGGACGCGGTCCAGAGCGGCGGCAACCCGAACAACAACCCGCTGTGCGGCAAGAAGATCCGCGTCCGCCGCGACGCCGAGGGCTCCGTCGACGTCACCGTCGTTGACCGTTGCACCGGGTGTAAGCCGACAGATCTGGACCTGAGCCCGGCCGGCTTTGAGCGGCTGGCAGACAAGGACGAGGGAAGAGTGAAGGGCACCTGGAGCTGGCTGGATTGATGACAGTGAGAGAGTGGCACCATGGACGGGACTACTGCACAGATGTGCACCCGAGTCGTCATGTCGGAGCTGTGACAGAAAAACGCTTCACGAGGAATGCGACCAAGAGCCGAGGCGGGAATGATGTCGCGTGTGTTTGGAATGTTTCGATACCCCCCCTGTTAGTCCTTATGCTTTCCTCACGTTATAAATATCATTGCCGACAAGGCATGCGAATGCGACCTTTTTCTCACCATCAAACATTGCGGATCTCCTCAGCCGCACGCAGCCAAGATGGGCGGGCCCTCGCTCGGGTTCTCCAACAAGAGTGTTTCGATTACTGTTTCATTACATTACTCCATCGCCTATCAACCAGGTCCAGGGGGGGGGGGGGGGTATCCATGAATATTTTCCAGTTACGCCAACAATGCCCGACTACCCGAACGGCTGGCGACGATCACTTAGTCGCACTCGCGTCCGGCTTCTTCGGCTCCGGGTACAGACCCTGCCCCGGGCCGAAGCAACTATACAGCACCCCCTGTTCGAGATCCAGGTCCATTGTCTGCTTTCGCAGGCTCGGCTCGGCACCGTCCCAGCCCTGGAGGAAGGCGTCCGGGAAAGATGAGGGATGCTGCTTCCGGCTCTTCCTCCCCGGCGAGCCCGCGGGCTCGTCCGTCCGCCCGCTTAGGGTGGACCGCTGGCTCGAGGGCGACCGCACGCAGCTCGGCGGCCGCTGGAGCTCGAGGTCCGCCGCGTTCAGCCAGTGACGGAAGTCGTCAAGCGTGTCCCTTCTCCCCGTTGCCGCCGTCGCCGCCATCGCCGCCCCCGTAAGCTGGCTGCCGCCGCGCTGCGTCGTCGCGTCCCACGTGGACCCGCTGACGGCCTTGGTCCGCCTGACCGAGTGCGGCGTCGGCAGCACGCCCGGGGCGCTCAGGCTGCGAAGCCACGGGAACCACTCGCGCAGCAGCGGCCACACGAGCGGCAGGTTCGACACGCACGTGGCGACGGTCGCCTCGCGGATGTACCACAGCATGTACACGGGGCTGTAGGGGTTCCGCAGGTTGAAGATCTTGGTGAGCAGCGCCGCGACGATGACGCAGATGCCCAGGCTGAATATGAAGATGAGCACCGCCTTCTGCCGCCAGGCGATGTGCATCCGGGACACGAGCGGCAGCGGCACGAGCAGCATGAGCACGTCGGACGTGATGTTGAAGCAGCCCTGCACGATGGCGTAGCGCTCGAGCGTCGCGCACTGCGGATCCGGCGGCGGCACGGCCCAGTACCCGGAGAAGGGCCGGCAGGCGGTGAACATTGTGATCTGGGTCGCCGTCCAGCCGACGGCGACGTAGACGGCGAGGCAGCGGACGAAGCGCTGCGCCGTGAGGCCGAGGGTGAGCCGCGTGTAGAGGACCAGCACGCACGCCTTCAGGACGTAGATGACGTTCAGCATCGCCTGCTCCGACACGAGGACGATCTTTGACCCGGCGACGCGGGCCTCGATATCCGCCGGGGTGAAGGCGGAGAACTGCTCGGTTGTGAAGAGGTTCGAGCCGCCCTTGTCGACGATCATGTTGAGGGTTATAATGAGGACGGTGTAGAAGAACTGGAAAGGGGAGGGGGTGAGGCATTAGCGGGGAGTTTCTTTCTTTCTTCCTCTTTTTTCTTTCTCTTTCTGTTTTTATACGAGGACGATGGTGAGCGGGTAACGAAGAAGACGTACAGCGGCGAGCATCTCGAGATAGTCGTCGGCCTGGTAGTAGAACACGCCCCCCAGCCTTCTCGCTCTCCCGTACCTAATTCCCCCCTGCGGGTCAGCATATGAATGTTGCGAGCCTTTTCCTTCTCATGGCCAGAAAACGGTTCGAAAGATAGACGCACAATCTGAGCAGGAGAACAGCCATGCCCAAGCCGTAAAGACCCCATCCCTCCCGCGCGAGCGTGCTGGCGAACGAATCGCCCACGTCGACCATGCTGGAAAGCCCTCTCTTTGTGCCCCCCTGGCGAAGCCCGGTCGTGTCCGAGGGGAGGGCTTCCCGATGCGAAGGTAAGAGGCTGTGGGATAAAGTCGAGCAGAGAGAGGGGGGAGGGGGGGTTGGTTTGTTGTCCACATTCAAGAGTGCCCGTTGGAAGACACTGCCATATCGATCAAGTTTTCCTCCCCCTTTTTTTTCCCAGCGCGAGCCATTCACGGTGACATGGTTGAGGAAAAGCAGGGCGGCATGGGATATCATAGGTGCTGGCAAGGCATCACAGGATAATCGACTCCACACGAGATGAAAGGAGAACATTCGGTGCAAAGGGGGGGGGCCCGGCGGGAATGCGAGCCGGAGTTTAGTGCCGGTCATGACGGCATGTCTCTGCGAGCACCAGCGACGGCGTTGACAAGACAAATACTAGTGGTTCCCCCTCCTAGTGCAGAACAGCAAACCTAAACCTGCTAGCCTGCCAACATTCGTCAGCTCCAACAAAGCCCTCGGCACGACGTCGAGCAGGAGGCGCAAAGGACCGACTGCGACGGACCGTAAGGCGACACTGCGTTGGGAGGAGGACATGATGCCTGCGGTCGAGGGCTAGTCTTGTCTCGTCTCTCCGATGGGGCGCAGCAGAAGAAGACCCCGAAGGGGCTCAAGATTTGGAAGCAAGCCGCCTACGGGATCTACTGATCTGCGCGCGGTTTCCATTGTCTAGCCGCGTTCGGTCGAAGCCTCCCCCGCGAAGGGCTTTCGATGACGGCCCCCCCCCTCCGAGCCGGATGCGGTAGTTCCCCGCGTCAAAGGTCAAAGGATGTACACCGGTGCGGCGGCTGCCACGCAAATCGACAATATGCCCCTTGACAGGACGCTTTGGAGGCGCCTTCGGCAAATGTATGTCCCCAATGTAGCCCTGCCGCCCGTTGCGAGCAATAACTCGTAAGCAAAAGGGAGAGGGCCCGCTGCCTTTGTCAGAGGAGGCAAAAGCCAAGGAGCTATCGTGACCTCTCCCCGCCCTTCAAACCTCGGACTCTGTCCATCTAAACGTTACCCGTCACTAACGCCCAAAAGCATGGTATTCTCTCTTTTTCTTGTGTCTCCGGTACGTGAAATTCAATACAGCATGTTGCTCCGCAACCGGGTGTTTCGGGTCTTGGGCTGGTCTCGGTCGCCGTTTGGCGGCGGAAGACGAGGTGGAATGTCTCGAAGCATTCCGCGGGGAGGAAGCTCCGGCTTGGCCGCACCGGCCCTCCACGAGCGAAACGGATCATCGCTTCCGAAGAGCTGCAAATCTTATATTCGACTTGTGCATGTCCTCCATGCCACCCAGGCGACACAAGAGGAACACTACCCGGCCTATGTAGGCTACCTAGGAGTACCCCGAGTAGCTGCCATGCGCCGTAGACCTAGGCAGAAAGAAAAAAAAAAGCATCTCCTAGCTGGCTCCGAGATCAGTTGAAAGCAGAGAGTTTTCAGTCCTATCGGGCTGGACCGTTCCGCCAATCCTGAGGGCTTCTTTGTCATGATGCTGTCATCTGCTTGTAGATCTAGTTCTCCTACAGTCAGTCACCTTTGCCTCCTTTTGCCCGCCTTGTTCTAGGCCCCGAACAACTATAGCCGCACTGCCACACTACTGTTTTCCGCAGGGGGTTAGCCAAGTTTAGACGGGGCTCCCCTTACGGTTCAGCGCTGCGAGGTGCGTGGAAGTGTGTTCCAATGATGCCCTGTTTATCAAACACCGATACCGAGGCTGCAGACCCATATACCAAGTCAATGATATCTCGCATGCTGCCAGGGACAACCATGCCAGACTCCTCGGCTGCACGATGGAGAGACGTCCAAAGAGCTCTTACGCTTCCGAGAGCTCTTACTAGGATGCCAGAAACGTGTGGTGCCGCGGGAGAAGGTTGAAGAAAAGAAGAGAAGAAACACATCCACTAAGAGGTTTATAGCTGCGCCCCCAGATCCCCCGCAAGCGTGAAGAATACCAGACACGCAGCTGGGGCGTCGGGTTCCAGAGTCCATAGGCGGTCGTCGTTTCCTATACGAAACGTCCCCATTTACATTCCCGCTTTCGCATCCGCCGTTACTTGCCAGCAACAGTATCCGGACGGTCGGATGTCGTCAGCTGATTCAAGGTTTTTTTTTTCTTTTCTTTTCTTTTCTTTTGTTTTCACGAAGTAACGGTGGCCATGGTTTGGACGTTTCTCTGGCCGCCGAAAGCGGGAAAACCTTGTGCCTCGATGGCCCTCGGATTCCCAACGCAAGCCACCTCGGCCCGTGGCTCCTATCCGAGCAGAAACGGAAGTCGGACGCTCTTGACGAGTAACGGCCTCTCGGTTTGTGTTTGGACGAATCGTATCATCCCCCTGGGAACGGTGAGGGGAGATGAGAAAGCTTCGAGGCAAAGCGAAAAGAAAAGAAAAAAGAAAAAAAACCCCGCTCGGCCCAGACTCGCAGAAGAAGCCCGGCCCTTGTTGTGGGTAGGACGCTGCTCATACCTGGCGGGCGTCTCGTTTGAGTGGGCGCACTCGAATAGACGTACTGGAATGGGCATACTTATCGTGTACGCAAGGGAACCTCTTCCACACGAGAACAAGCCCGAAGGGCCTCGTCCCGCCGTTGACGGTGAAAGCCGTTTCGATGAGATTCTGACGTCGATCGTTTCAATTGTGCCCACCGCGTATCCTCCATCTGGTCGAGTAGATAGCGGAACTCGGCCACGTTCACGGCAATCCTTCCCTCAGGAGCCAAGGGTCACTCCGCTAGTCAGGGCACCGACGCCGAGTCGCCACGATAGACGACGCAGACGACTCGGCGGGTTGCGCCGAAGCAGACCCAGCAACGGGAGGCTGTTGTCCCGGCTGGTCAAGGCGCAGAAAACGTCTCGAGTTGCGATCCCTCCATCGGTACTCGGCTGACCAGTCTCTCCGTCCCCTCTCTCCTCCAGTGAAGCGCTGGACTGGCCTCTCGTCCTCTTCAGCCCGCCTCCATCTCTCGATGGCCCGCATTGACGGGATATGCGGAGCATTGGTCGTACTCCGTCCGACCCCCCCCCTGAAACGGAACATGTGCGCATGCACTCGCCCTCCGCGGCCTACCCGGGATCCCCCTCCATCCAGAAGCAGGAACCGGAAGCTCATGTTTTCGTCTCTTTCATCTTGCCTGTGGAGACGTATCTCCTCGGCACATCTGTATCCTGTTCCTTGCCGGTTGCTTCTTTCATCCAAGGTCACCAGAGAGACCTGTCGACACATTGACTGGGCTGTGTTTTGGCGCTCCAACGACCGGTATCATGGCGTCTGCACAGACGTGGCCGAGAGAGGGGGAGAGAGAGAGAGAGAGAGAGAGAGAGAGAGAGAGAGAGGCGGGCGTTCTATAATCCCGTGTGCAGTACACAGCCGTGCACGCCGTCAATCACTAAGGCGAGTTTGACGTGAAGCCGAAGCTAGCCCTGGCAGCAAGCCATCTGTTTCCTACCGAGGAGGCGCGATTGTGCGTTTCGATCATCCAAGGAGGACGGACTGGCGTGCAGGCCTTGGCAAGCGGAACACACATTGAGAAGCGCGCTTGTATTGTTTGAGCTGCTTGCAGCGTGCGTACGTACTTTGTACAATCTTCGTTCCATGACATCAGGCTCAGGTTGGACCGTTTCATTTGGCCATCAGATAGGTGGCTGAGTGGGAGACTTGGCTACATGTGCATGTGCGAGCTTTTGCCAAGCTTCTCCCCGTATGCCAAACAACTCTGCCTTTTTGTGTTTCGCTGCCCTGCCAAGCCATTCGCATTCTCATCGTCGGTGCCGCCTCCTGGGACCCAACCGGCTGGTCCGGACGGAATAAGGAGATGATGGCTCATGTTTGGGACGACGAATGCCAGCCAGCTTGGCAGGCAAGTGTCAAGCCCCTCCCCAATATCGTGTCTGCATACGCACCCTCCTCGCCTCTGGATGATCCGAAAGAGGAACGTCGCGAGAAAGCGTCTAGCGTTGCCCCAAGACTCGCCTGACCCATCCCATTCTCGTCTCGAGCGCGACCTTGGCCACCTCGGACCCGACGGCCAGCCCCGCCAGGTCGAAGCCGTGGAAGCCGCCGCTCCAGACGTGCAGGTCCGCCTGCACGCCGCTGTCCCACAGCTTGGTCGCGTACGCCACGTTCTCGTCCCTGAACGGCTCCGCCGTCCCGACGTCGATGTACGCCGGCGGCAGGCCGGACAGGTCCGTCGCCCTGGCCGGCGCGACGTAGGGGCTGACGTCCGCGTCCTCGACGCCCGCCTTGTCGCCCAGCACGCACGCCCAGGCGCCCTGGTTGTCCGTGGCGTCGTAGGCTGTGTCGTTCCTGAACTGCCTCTTGGACACGCCCGTGTCACGGTCGTCGAGCATCGGGTACACCAGCAGCTGGGCGCAGAGCTTCGGGCCCGCGGCGTCATCGCGCGCCCTCAGCGCTGCGCCCGCCGCGAGCCCGCCGCCCCCGGAGATCCCCGCTACCATGAGACGCGCGGCGTCGATGCCGAGCGCCGCCGCGTGCTCGCTTGTCCAGACCAGCGCCGCGTAGCAGTCGTCCTGGGGCGCCGGCGCCGGGTGCTCGGGAGCGAGCCGGTACTCGACGCTGACGACGATCGCGTCGAGCTCCTTGGCCATCCTGACGAACGGTTCGATCGCGAGAAAGGCGTCGCCGAGGACCATCCCGCCGGGGTGGAAGTAAACAATCCCCGCCCGCTCGCCGCTGGCCGTCTTCGGGCTCCGGGACTGTACAATGACGAGGGGAATCTCACCACCTGGTCCCGGGATCGTGCGGTCCTCCACCAGCAGGCCCTCGTCGTTACGTACGGCTGCTTGCGCGGGAGCCATCGCGGCGGCACGCAGCTGTCGTCCTTCAACAATCTCGTCTGCGGTTCGAGGGTATGGCCTCATTAGTCCCAAAGCCGGGACCAGCTGAGGGTCGTACGGGGGTCTTGGGAGCAAGTTCTCGGACGACATGGCGACTGATGCTTGATGGCCGGCTACTTTGACCTGTTGCGAATGCAGTGCAGTGATGTGTAACCCGCTTCGAGACGCTCTGCTGTTCCTTGCGGTAAGTTCTCTTGAAGTTGACGCCGAATACCTCGTCCGTTGACTCGTGCAATATGAGATGCCAATTGCTAGGTGGTAAGGAATCGAGGTCTGCAACTGAAGAACAGACCCCGCAGCCCCGCGTGGTCTCTCTCGGTACTTTTTATTCTGTGTTACAAATCATCGGGTTCGTCAGGACGCTAAGTCCGAAAGGACTAATGTGAGCCACCGATGCCAGGGACATCGCAGAGTGTGTCGAAAAACAATAAGGGTTCAGCTGCTAGAGTTACATCGATAATAGTAGCGGTGGTGAGCATCTCAGTCGCTCATGAACTGGACATTCGCCTACGACGCTCATATTGGAGAGCACACCGCTCTCGGACAATAACGTCAAGCAGCATGATTGTTCTATGTCTGAGCCATTACTCTTCGTAGCCCAAAATGTCGAATCACTATTCCATACTTCTCTCGCGCGCGGGTCATCGGTCATTGCTTCCTAGATATATATGTTGTCCCCGGACCCCGGAACCCTTGATATGGCCACATCGCCAAGATGCCCAGGTTGACCAGAAGTGCCGAGCAGACGATAGCTCCATTCTTGAGATTGAAATAGGTCAGGACGATGCTCGAGCCCACAACGCAGGTAGCGTCTACGGCGCTTGCGAACCAGTGCCCTGCGTCACCACAATTCCCCGTCAGTCGCGGAACCCGGAATTGAGACGACGGTTTCACAAGTTACATCAGCAAGCTTCGGAGTACGCATCCGCGCGCTCGCTCGTCATTTTGTGCACGCGGTCAGCGAGCGCGTTCCTGAACACGGACCCGTCGCAAACCCCGTCACTTCGTCAGGCAAGTTGGCGGCACACGGAAACGATAATCCCTCGATGTGGATGGTCGCTTTCCTAAACGACTTGCCGTAGATGCAACTAAAATCCATGTCAAGGAGCGGGCCGTTGCGGCAGTCACACATCTCCCATCTCTCATATCTTTGGCCATGTATTAGGCAGCTGATAGTTTGTATTCTCCGAGGCCCATCACACAGGCCCCTGTTGAACATGCAGGTTTCTGGACGGGACGTGTACTGTGCACCCGTCATGTGATACATGGAAGGGCATTTCACCATGAAAAAAAGAAGTATCAAATACATTTCAGTTTTGTTATTGTGTTATATCATGGTGAACCCGCGAGCCCTCGCTGTCAGGTTATGGTGTCATCACGCCGCCGCTAGGATATCGCCTCCAGTGTGCCCTGTAAAGAAAGTACCCTAACAGACTCACCTTTTATCAGGATAAGCCTCTTCCCTTTATGCAAGAAAGTTTCGACACTTTCTGAGGTTCTAGCAAGTGTTTAGACAATATTAAGCCTCGACTGGCAGTCCAGCCCCCCCTCCCCAATAGCGAACCTGGACCTCGTGGCTGCCAATAAGTCTGGACTAGGGGCACGATTAAAAGCACGTCTCCCAAGATGCGGTGTGGCCCCGCACTCGTGGCGCGAATGCATGAATGTCTATGGGCAGGTTTTGGGGCGTGTGTCATAGAGAGGCCAGCGCGAAATCGGCCTCAACGAAAGCCTAAAAGGCTGGTATTCTCTGCTATTACGTGCGGCTTGCCTCGGAAGCTGTTGGAGATGTAGAATCAGAAGGTGATGATTCCCCGGAGCCAGTTTATGTCCGGATGGATGCCGTGATTTATAGCTCGTCACTGAGTTACGGAGGGTAGAGCTGTTATAATCATAGCTTGCATGTTAAGTCATGGCAGAATGAAACTAACCCGGATCGTCAGGCAAACAATTAGAATCTTTAATCAAGTTTCTTATACCGCCATCCATAGGCATATCCTTATACCGCCATCGATACAATTGAATGGGCAAGACTGCATAAGTCCGTGCCGGGCGCTGAAGTATATCTGGTGGCGCCCTGGTTTAGAATATGATTACCTGAGCGTTGGGCGTAAGCTTGTTGAAACAGCAACAGAAATGAGGAGAATAGCGGAAGCTGGTGTCGTTATCGGAGCGGCAATTTGCCAACATTCGTTCCCCCGCGCCATACACAGAGTCGAGACCTACCACGAGGATGCAGGGTAGAAGCCACGATCTAAACCTGAGCTACAAGAGGTGTATTCTGATGCGTTAGCCTCGAGAAATCCAAAGATGGGCTTCACGCATGCGAACTATCCACAGAGCTCCACCGAGTCCTGCTCTCAGAGACGTGAGGTAAACCCGTCGGATTGAGTGACCCATGCCTGATGCTCAACTTCCGTGGTTTATCAGTGATTCTTGTTAGGCCGAAGCATGAAACGCAGATCGGCACTTCGCGGTCTTGTGCTCGTGTGCCGCGGATCGTACAAGGCCATTGCTGTCCGATGGTACTCGATAAGCAGCTCGGCGATAACTCTAAGCAGAATAGCTACGCCGCACCATGATCGAACCTTCTATTTGGGGCATTCCCAACTGCGTTGCGCTCCACACCCGCATTTCCCGAAGAGGCCATACTCGGCCTTGGAAAAAAAAGGAAGTAATGCCGGATTCCTTAGCGCTCCGGTCAGCATCTCGGCGATGCCAAGGGTGCTACCGATCCCGCAGGATCGTGGCTGGATGAGATGGACGCCCAGCGATGAAAGCCGCAAAGCGGGTTCGTGGAAACCTCAGAGTTCGGGCTGGACCCTTCGGCACTAAAGTCTGAGGAAAGGTCGATAGAAATGGGACACAGCAGCAGAAATGCATACACGTGTCACACTCATCCTTCATGAGTAGGAACGTATTCGGGCCGGCAGATGTTCAGGTTATGTGACATGGCTGCCCGCGAGGCACACCATCTTATTATCATGTCACGTCTGATGGTTTTCAGTTACAGTTGACTTCCCATTCGGGCATCTTCATATAGACATAGATCGAGGACAGACTCACAGCCTCACACTGAGTAGTCGTAGTAGAAGGGCCAAGGATGACCCCTGTGGCAGGCTCTTGAATGTGGGACTCACTCTATCAGCCTCCTTCTTGAGCCCGACTACATACCGCACAGAGCAATGCCGATTCATTGATGAAACTTTGTAATTCAGAGTACCGTTGCTTGACGGGATTCAATTCACTTACCAATCATAGACCGAACCAGCGCGTTGGCTATGTGCACGTGATGGAGCTTGGTGGGAAGCAATAATACTCCAAAGTGCGATTGAAGGGCGACGGACATTGAGAAGGCCGTCTGGTTATCCTTTCCAGATATATACTTCCAATGTTCTAAAAAGAATTGAGCCTTACATAGTATGATACGATCGGCGTTGAGGTGGTTGTTGATTAACTTTCCTATTCGAATCCCGTTGCGCAAGGGACGAACCCGTATCCGTATCCCAGCTAGGATAACTAATGACTAGTACCAGGCCATCCTGCCGAATACGACCTGACTGGTCCAAGTCTGGCTCGCACTGCAACTGTTTACCCTCTTCGAGAAGAGAATCATGATCCAGTGGGCGTTCCTCAGCAGTGGTGGTGATGGTGAATTGGAGCTCTCATGCCTGATTCCTTTCAACGGCCTGCGCAGTGAGGATTTCTTTGGGTAGATGCCCTCTTGCCCATGGTTGGTCAGGAGGGGGATTAGATACAGACTCAGCCATGTCGGACGACCATCTCATGTCCCGCGCGCTCTCACGGAATTGCCTCGGAATGTCAAACCCCTTTGACTACATGAGACGTGATAGGCTGCGTCCCGGAGGAAGTGGCTCAATCGGCAGAGGGTGCTACCCTCGCACTCGACCAACTTTGAGGACTAGAAGATCGGACTACGAATTCCTACCGGTAGATGATGCGGTTAAGGGTGCACCAAGTAATGCATGCGTGTGCGCAGGCTGGTGGACAGGCCTTGTTGCTGAAACCTTTTCTCTAACTCTGTCAACCTACACACAGATCCGAGTGACGCACGCCACGAGGGACTTGACACGGCTACGCCCACTGCCCGGGATGACACGTCTTCCGCCTACTTGGACCGAATGCACTCACCTCTCTCAAGGAAACGATCGGGCTGTTGGTGTTCCTGGCCGACTCTGCCGACTGGGACCGGGCTTATTAGCGTGCTCGAGAGCAATGACCTTGATTAACCTTCACCAACCCCCGCTCCGCCCCTCCCTCTCAACCATACCCATCAATAACATATCTTTGCACATCGTTCATTTTGTGTCGGTGCTCCCTATATTGTCTTTGTTTTTATTTCTATTTTCTATTGATAGACGCCCGTGGTGTTCTGAACTGACCTTCTTTGCTCGACCATAATACCACATGCTGGCATGGCTTGAAAACTATTCTCATCGCATCTGAGAGAACCTTCAGAGAAAGGGAGAGAGTGAGAGAGAGAGAGAGCGAGGCAGACAACGCCCTCATCAATCTCACAAAATACTATGCGGCTGGTCGAAATTGCTACGATAGCAGCAGCAGTGGCATCAGGACTTCGCATACGTCCTGTTCAGAAACAGCCGCAGCTGGAAGAGAAGCAGCTCGAAGAGAAGCAGCTCCAGGAAAGACAATTTGTAGGCGTCACATCCTTCATAGCCGTGCTCCCCACGGCTCAAGAGGAGACAAGCTCGACGGTGCTGGTTGTGAACACGACACCATTGCCACCGCCTCCTCCTCCGCCGCCAAAGTCAACCTCAACACCGCCTCCTCCTCCTCCTCCTCCACGGACATCCACATCAACACCGCCGCCGCCTCCTCCTCCTCCACGGACGTCCACATCAACACCGCCGCTTCCTCCTGCTCCTCCTCCGCCGCCAGTGTCGACACCGGCACCGCCCCCTTCTCCTTCTCCAGCACCAAGGTCAACATCGACACCGCTGCCGCCGCCTCCTCCTCCTCCGCCGACAACGACAGCGTCAAGAGCTCCAACTTCATCTCCGGTCGTACCCCCTACGACTCTATTACCAGCACCATCCCCGGCACCATCCCCGTCACCTTCGACAACGCAGAAGGCTGAGACCACATCAGCTTCACCGACGATGTCCTCCACCTCGCTGCTGTCGTCGGCTGCTTCGACTTCGTCGGCTACTTCGACTTCGTCGGCCACTTCGACATTGTCGACAATAGCCTCGGCCACGCTGCCCATCGCTTTACCCGCCACCACCACCGGCGCCGCCGGTGGCGGACTACTACGCCCTACTCAAGGAGCAGGACCGCCAGTTCAACGACTCGTTGATCCAGCCAAAGGGTCCTTCCTCGGTGGTGATCCGTCAACAAATATAGATGTGCCCGTCACGTTCCTTTTCCTGCTGCTATTCGCGGCTGGTGCCTATACGCACATCCGGATCTACCGGGCCAACGCCAAGCGCGGGCACAAGTTCCTGCTATCCGATCTCCTGTTTGACTTCTGCATGGTGAGGACTGTCACATGTATCATGAGGATCGTCTGGGCATTTGAGAAGAACCGAGTCGTCATCCTAATCGCGCTCATTGTTCAGTTTGGAGGGTAAGTCTCCGAGTCTCGTTTGATGAAAGACGGGTCCGACTGACAGTTCCACAGAGCCGTGGTTATCATGGCGGTCAACATATTCTTTGCGCAGAGAATTCTGCGGTCAATCCATCCAAATTTCGGTTGGCATCCGGCATTCAGAGTCTTCACCCTCTTCTTCCTGTTCTCAATCCCGGCCGTCGTGCTCCTAAACAGCACCTCAATTGGTGTCTCTTTCTTCAAGATTGAGGACCAGGATCGCGTCACGACGGCTCTCAACCTCCTCAAGGCTGGTATCTCCTGGATCATGCTCCTAGCCGTCTTACCCGTCGTCATGGTCCTGTTGGCATCTACCATTCCTGGTCCTAGGCCCGAGAGGTTCGGCCAAGGCGACACCCATCAGAAAATCGCCGTGCTACTGATTGGCGCCTCTTTCATGATCGCCGGACAAGCCGTGCGGCTAGCGGGAACAGTTATAGGAGATCCGCCAGGCTCGACGAATGCGCTCTACAGCAAAGAGCTGTTTTATACCTCTGGTTTCATGTTGGAAATATTCACGGTGGTCTTTTACGCTGTCATACGCGTCGATTTGATGTTCCACGTTCCCAATGGATCCAGCCAACCGGGCGATTACTCGAGGAAGCCGAAGCCGGGCGAAGAAGAATACGAGGCCGCGCTCCTTACCAAAGAAGAGATTGAGGATGAGCTTGCTGGGCTGGGCCACCCTTACGAGATTGTCGACTCGTCTGGTCTTGGAAGAGACGGCTCTGGGCGCACCATCGTCGCATTCAGCACGAGGCGCATGAATGGCGGAAAGCCTGTCATACTTCCTCCGCGGCCAGCGCCATATAGCCGGACCATGTCCATCCGGGGATCGGTGAGATCCATGCGCGGATCTTTGAGGTCCGGTGGCTTATCACGAATGATGTCCTCTCGGGTGGCCCCATCGTCAACAGCTCCTCACATTAGTGAAGTTCAGGTCGGCCGCCCCGAGATCAGGCACAGTCCATTTGGGATGAACCCTGTAAGTCAATACGGCGTCCCACAGCCTTTGTTTATCCAGGCGAGGTTCAGCAAGTATACGGACCCGGAAGACGAAACGGCGCAGTTGCGACCTGAGAGTCAAGCAACGTCTGGCGAGATCCCGTTGAGCTTGGATAGGGAAGGCCTGGGACAGCCATACGAGGAACGACAATCTTTGGGACGGCGTCCGTCGGTACAAAAGTTTACGGTCCTCGAAAGAGAAGGTGGGCCTTTGAAATAGAGCACTCTGGTGAGCATAACTCACGAAGGACATGATGTCGAGGCTGAGGAGACTTGTGATGCGATACGAGATTACCCACATAGCTTTGGTCCTTCAGTAGATAAGTTAATTACGGGATCGTATGGTAGATAATTAATTACATCGTCACGACGTTCAACACAAACATCTTGTTTGCCCTTCATGCTGACATGTTTTTCAGTTCATTCCTGTTGATAGGACGAGGAGACCAGACGATGTCATTTGTGCTTCTCATATTCTCAGAGACAGTTCACATGTTCATGACGGTTGTAACCCCCAGAAGTAGTGTAGTGACGTGTCAGGCGCAACCAACAGGCTCACAAAGAGAAAGTGGCATTCGTGATTGTATCCACGAGAGAGATAGAATCATAACCTCAAACGACAGTTTGGGTTCGAGAGACACTCGTGATTTGCTTTAGATAAGCCTAGCGTATTCGGGACGGACCCTGCCGTACCTGATAATCATACCGCCACGCCTGCACCCAAACGCCGAAAACATAGTCCACAGAATTTGTTTTGGCTGTAGTGTTCAATTGAATATTCCCCTAAGCACTTGCATCAGCCCGCCAAATATACCTCCTCCTCCTTTGTCACCCGCAGGAGCGGCAGCACCAGCGTCATCGGCCTTGACCCCGTTCGCAGCAGCCGGGACGCCGACGCCGCTGAAGATTGCGATGCCTTCATCCAGAACGTTACTGAGAGCATTTGCGCTTAACTGGGCATCCGAGGTCATGTCAGAGGACACTCTGCTGACGAGCGCCTGGGCAAGGGAGGAGCTGGCGGTCTTCTGATCCTGGAGAGCGGCGGCTACGAATGGTGTCCCGCCGAAGGAGTCAACCAAGGATTTCTTCGCTACCACGTCGTTGATGGTCACTTTTACGTTATTCGTGAGGGCATCCGTCGCGGCCTTTAGATTCCTTGAATCTTTCGCGTTGAGAACCTGGGAGGCCTGGACCTGCGGGGTCGCATCTTCGATTGCAGACCTGACGCCGGTAAGGGCGCCAAAAACCTGGATCCCAGCACTGAGAGAAAGGGAATTTGCGCTTTTGACCGAGTTGTCGAGGGCTTGAAGAGCCGAGTTGATGGTGTTCAGGGCGGCTTGGATGCTAGCCAAATCACGTTTGTACTTGTATGGTTTGATAGAGAGAGGAGCAGCGGAAACCGTGACCGCAACAAGGAAAATAGACAGAAAATAATGCAGCTGCATTGCTCACGTCTGCCAGAGATTGTGGCCTTGGGCGGGGCGCGTTGAAGTGTCTTTTGAAATTAAAAGAGAGTGTGGTCGAGGAGAAGAGAGCGTAGGGGGGGAACTTCAGACTGCCCAGCTCAAGGGTCAAGTATTAGACAATGGAATTTGTGACGAAACAAAACAGGGGACATCCAAAGAGTAGACGAGTCCCGAACACGACGTCCATATAAATCATACAAATGAGCGGGCCACGATGGTGCCGGGACCAGGTCCATCACGATGAGCCGAGGACAATAACACCCGAACTCAGGAACTGCCGGCATAATGAAGCAGAGTCGAGACGATCTTGACTTTTGTTGAGAGCGACGCCATCCATGTCGAGGGCCGATCGCTGTCTCCCCGGTGGCCTGTTTTCCAGGCCAACGCTGCGTGATGTGAGGCCAAGGCACGACGTTGAGCAGGTCGGGGACATACGCGGGTTATCATGCGAGCAAGAAGTTTTTCTGATGTTTTCGCCCAAAGAAGAAATCTGGTGAGACTCTCTGTTTCGAATTGCGAAAAGTCCAGACGATTTGGCACACAGACTTTGTCATATTGCATGATCATTTAACGAGCGTTTCCTGGATTGATCGCACAATAGTCGGATTTACGGTAGACTTGCTGACGTCTCTCTATCTTTTTTCCTTTCGCTTTTCATACGTTGGATTTGTTCTCATACTGTCCGGCAACAGGGAGTTCTGGGCTAGCATGTAAGCTATCAAAATACAGGTCGGCCGTGACCGCTACCAAGCCATGAAGGGGAGGGAGGAACGCTTTCGAGTCAGAGGAGGCAAAATATGCTGTATCAGCTCATGTCTCCCCATCAGACCAGTGAAACAACTTCCTATTTCAGCCTCGATGCAACCTTGTCTGTACCTAAACCGTCGCAACCCTTTCTCATTTGCGTTTCGAAAAGCTCATAAGCTTTGTTTCTATATGTACAGATGGTATTATTTACCTCCGATCTGTACTATAATCACTCCACCCACATGGCAGGCCTGGATTATATTGGAGACCTAGATTTAGAATTCGAACTTCAACTTGCAACCATCAAGGCCAAGGACCAACCTAGACCTTAGTGTGCTCAGACCTGGGAGCACTGTTATGTCATAAAAGCACACTGTGGCAAAAGACCGGCAGCCCCGGGCAAGCGGTAACCACGTCCATGCCATGAAAGGTGCCAAGCAAGAACTCCTGGTCGCGTCACTATCTTCATTCATTGAGCTGATTCGGGACCAGCGGATGGACAGTGCTCCGAGACGGCACCTGTCAGCACGGCTTCATCTAGTCCACAGCGGGGGACGGATTGGATCACATCATCTTATTCTCTGGCTATTATATGTTGGTTCACGTATTCGACTACCTTTACTGCACAAAACTTTTCTCATGGACTATGATTAGACGTGGAAACACATATATTGATCGTCAAATGACATGCCGACTACACTCGCCATAATACAGACTGCAGAGGGCGAGCGCTGCGGGATCTTGGCCGCTCCGATTAAGTATTAAAATGAGCATTAAAATGAGCATTGAGTTCTCGACTAAGGAGTAATAACTTTCTACAACAGGATTAAAGTCGGATCTAGACCGTCTTCTCCTACGTCTTGGTCGACAGTCTAAACATTATAGTTGGTGGCCGACTGCGCTGATCTTGGCCACTACATGTAACACCTGACGCTCGGTCTCTAGGAGCAATTGCCCCGGAAACTATTTTTGCTCTAGGGTCTGATTGCAAATCATCTCCTCAATCTTAGGTTTATATTATAGCGGCCATGAATCTAATCCACATGTTGGCTGTCGGCCCTCCCTCGTCATCTTAGCGTGATGCTAGAAGCTTAAGAACTCCGCTCATAGGTACCTCGTCTGTTGCCATGTGTGAGACTTGAGATGATCATTAGGAGGGGAAAAGGAATATATCGTCTCTCCCTTCACAAGGCCTACTTGGATGCTTTCCTTATCTCGGCCGGTGGGATGATGCCAAGACATCTGATGAGAATATTGTATGAAGACGCACAGCCATTCTACGGAATCTGTGTTTGAGGCTTCTTCGGGTCGTCACCCCTGACCAATAGGGTGAGCTGGGCGAGTCTCGCCGCTTTTGCTCACCCTCCATGATAACCTGGGTGAGGCAAGGGAGAGGTCAGAGTGCGGTTATTGATACCGTATATCTTCATTGTTGATACCGTGGCCCGGATCAACCACTAACCCGCTCGTGCAACCGGAACAACACATTCACGACCCGAACTCTAACCGGGCTAACCCTAACCCAGGCCCTAACCTGATCATAGGCATCCCATCGTGCAGTACATCCTCAACCAACTTCAAGCTGGTGAATTTGTCGCCCATGGCTAAATGAAAATCCTCTTGACCTTAGAAGGAGAACGATCGAAAAGCATTCATTGGTTCTGACCAAATGGAGGTGAGATAAGGGAGCTTTTTCGCCATGCGGATGAGGTATTCGCTGATTAGGTGGTCACTAGTCCGTTTGTTGCCGTCCATTGTCCAGACAGGATTTGCCGACTGAAAAAAGTGCTCGGCCAACGGACTGGAGAGTGTATGGGCTGAAATAGAAGCCTCGCCAGATAATCCAAATTGTCGACAACCATGTGTCACTTGGTAAAGGCGTCATGGGCCTCCAAAAATATAACCTCCGTGACATAGATGTTGAATCGATCGTGGTTGCAAGCTTTGTGAAAGTGCTCCAAGTCAGCCCTTAGCATCGAGATCCAGATGCGTTGAAACAGGATGACGTCTGTGTGATGCCACTAATATGAACAGGTCTGACGGAGAATCCATAGTTCATTTGGAAGAAGCAAGGGTAAATTGTTCTTTGTAAAGAGGAGACTTAGATCATCAACACCCTTTCGTTTGGAGAGACAAGCGCCCTGAAATTTGAGAGGAAACTCCATGCTGAAACCCACTGAAAGGAAATCGTCCGCAAGGGACTCGACGATATTGAGAAGAAGTAGAAACAAGAAGGGGAGCTCAGAGGGGATGTATCTTATATAGGGCTGTCCGTGGTGAGCAGCTCGAGGATTCATTGCCTAACCCCTTCGCAAATTACTCGGGAAAGGGATAAAAAAAAGGGGGTTGAGGTGGTCGATCCCGAGTTTCGCACACCTTCACGCACCAGGCATTGTGCCAGGCATGATACTCATGGCGGAGTCAACCACTGAAAGATGCACGAGACATTCACGCTGCGGCACAGCGTCTCGAAATGCAGAAGCAATGGGGCCACCAAAATGTATCCCGGGCAATCACCAGAGATCCGACTGGTTGCCTAAGGGGACATGATTAGCCCTCGAATTTGTTGATCGCCGCCACCGAGCCAAGGGGAGATGAGGAACAATCTTGTTTTCAGACAGAAGTTGTGACGGCGTGAAAAGTCGCCTTGACTGAATGCAATTTCGACCTCAACACCATACGAGCTGCAAAAATAGAATGCTACCTGTTCTGCTGCTTCATATGGCCCTGCATGAGGCCTTCCGCGGCAAGGAGCTGAGACTGCAGGGCGTAGTCATGATCATTAGCATGATTGGAGTGGTCCTATCGATGTCACTCAAGGTTGACAGACTGCCCGTGTTCAACGTCGCCGCTGCCGGTTGGATTCTCGGTATCTCTGGGGTTGCTTTCGGCATGATGAGGCCGGGCTGCGAAGCGGTCGAACTGCCGTCAACTTTATACAACAGAAAGCCACGCAGTCTGTCCCCTTGGTGCTTGTTGAGCGTTTCAATGAACCCGTATGAACTGAACATGTTGAAGTTGTCTGTATCAGAGAGCAAATATTGTACCAGAGTCTAGAGACTTGACGGTTTGCCCAACGAGATGCGATCTCGCAGCCTCGCCTGCGTCCGCGGGCCGACCCCCCCCCCCCCCCCCTTTGTTTGAATCGATACTCCTAAACGCCCTCACCGCATCACCTACCCGAAAGATGGATCTCAGCCTGGATAAGTCGGCTCCTTCCACCTTCAGTCCGTGGAGACTTCGTGCTCGGTTCAACGCCACGTATGCCTGTCCGTGCTCGAAAATGCGTGAAAGATCAGCAACGACTCGGCCAAGACTGAGAGTCTGGCTTTTGTGGATAGTCATGGCCCAGCCTTGCGTCAGGTGGATCTGTGTTCGTGACAGGTAGCTGTAAGGCGACTGGTCGCCGTACCTTATGACAGCACCGTCGGGTCCGACGAACCTTTTCTCGCCATTTGCGAACCTGACTTCAGGAATTAGAGTGTGCCGGCAAAGGTGTCGAGCCAAGGACTCGCCGCTGGGAGACAGGTCACTTACACATGTTCTTCTCGCACCTTGCGCGTTTCAAATATTCTACAACCCGGTTGTATTTCTCCGTCACAGCGCGATAGCCGTCATAGTCATCTTCGTAGTTCTTCAGCGACGGTGGCCGTGGCTCTTGGATCCTGTTGCTGGGTACAAACCCTACGACGACGCCCTGCCGCCCATTGCAAAGACCGCGCAGTATGATGGGCGTATCCACCTACAGGGTAATTCTATTCAACACTAAGGCCTATAAGATAAGAAGAATATCTATTACTTTTAGCTTTCTCTAAAGTCTTATATTAACGCTTTGCAGGTATTATAGGGGTTGTCTATGAATCCTTGTTGGGCTTGAGCACAGGCAGGGCTGCACAGGGCCATGATGGGTGCGAACCAGCTTTGCCATAGGCAATGTTTCCCACGATCGTGTAGATGTTCTGGCACAGAGGCATCTTGACGAATCCCGGCACCCTGATCCCTTGTCCATACCACAGCGGAGAGTCCTCCGACGGGCTGACGTTGGTGTAGTTGAGGTTGAAGTTGTCGTTCATCCGGCCGCCTTCCACCCAGCCGCCGTAGACAGCCGCGACAATGTCCTCCTTGGTCACTCCGCCCCACATTGTGCCGTCTATGGTCTCCGTTCCGTAGAGTGCGGAAAAGGGGGGATTCTCACTGGGCCTGATGGAGGGACTCCCCACATTCAGCTCAACCCCTTGGCTCCTGACGTCCAAGAGGTAGAAAAGAGCGCCGTTGTAGCAAGCCGCTGCTCTCTCGTGGTCATCGTCTGGAATGAAGGGCCACAGCGCACTGCTTCTCTGGCCCTTCTTCATATCACAGGGAAGGTTCGTTTTCCTAGCGTAGAAAGGGTCAGCGGGCTTGGGTTGCGATGATTTCTGCAGCGGGCAGACGTACAGAATGAACGGCTGCCGGGCCGCCGCGACTGATTGCCAAGCGGTCACCATGAGTTGGGCGTAGAAAACCTTCTTCAGCACCTTTGCCATGTCCCTGAAATTGATGTCGTCCGGCGTACTCTGCATCAGGCCGTTGTCCAGCGTCGCCGTCAAGTACGCCACTGTGTCGTTGTCTTTGACGCTAAATACGTGTTCGACATAGGCCACTTCGGTGTCTTTCCACTGCTCGAACACTGTGCCCATGATGGCCGACAGTCTACCGTAGGCGGGTGTTGGGCGTTGACCCCTGAAAATCGTCAATATGTGACAGCCACAGAAGCCTCGCACAGCGGTGGAACAGAGTCCTTACGGCAGCATGTAGTCCTTCCCGATAGCCCAGCTCGTGAAGATGGTGTAACTGCTGGTTGTAGTCAATTGAGACCGGATCGTCTGGGAGAGTCCCAAGAATCCGTTCATGACCGCAGAATAGATAACTTTGGAGATGAGTTAGATACTACTGTCTGGGTGGTAGAGATATCGGTCGATGGGGATCCAGGGTTGATAGGACGGGTGCGGCTTACAAAAGTTGTTGGCGTAAGCTTGCGCAATACCAACGACTCCGTATAATACGTTGAGCATGATTCGCTGGAGCTGTACCTGAGTTTGGCTGTCGGGCAACGGAATAGAGAACTTTTCAGCAAAAAGGGGCATGTCCGCCTGCACATCCATTTGCGCCTGATCGAGAGCCTCCCAGTACCGACGGTGAAACTACGAAGCGCGCCTTTAGCAAAGTTTCGTTGTCCCCGAAGTAATGACTCTGAGTGAAGAGTCAAAATTGGGGCGAGAGGAGGCAGGCTCACGCTTGCAGGGAGAGAGAACGAACTAACCTGGTGAAGCTTTGAGAATGAATTCAAAATGAGATGTCCGGCCGGATATTTTGTGTCTTCGCAAGCCACGGACGTCGAGCAGGGCCCGTCGAGAAGCTGGGAGCATCGCCACATCTCGGGGCCGCCAAAATACCAAGAGGCATACTGGCTGAACTCGAACTTGACCTCGTACGGCCCCGAGCTGTAGTTCATCCACGAGGCCATCATGTCACTGAGTGCCGCAGAGGCACCGGCCGCCTCCCATCGTAAGTTGGGCAAGGCCTTGGCGTCAGTGACGACGCCGCTGCATGTCGCGTTTCTCCAGTCTACAGCGGCGGCCGAGAGCCCCACAAGATACAACAGAGCGGCTGTGCGGGGAATAAACATGGCCGAACGATGTTACAAAAACACGAGAGGTACTCGGCAGGATGACGAAGGCCGTTGAAAGATTGAGTGTGGCCAGCTTGATGACGTTAACGTCCTATTTATCCCGTAGCTTGCCACGAAGCGTTGCTTGCGTAGTAACATGTTCGCGTGCAACCAAGCAAGACCCTGTGTCGAAAACAAACAATACTATATTTTGTTTGTTACCGCTATAGGGTGACATTGCTCGGTTCCCCTCCGTGGCCAATGAGGTCTGTCTGTCTTGCCATCGCCGGGGCCAGTCCGATATTCCCAGCTCAATGAAAGGGAGAAGATTATTCGAATGTCCAATCAACCAGCATTCAACATTCACTGGAACGCTGTCTTATCGTTACCCCCGCCTCCATCCCCAGGCCGGCGTCCCCGAGTGCGGGGCAGGATGAGGCCTAAACACTAAAGCATAATGTTCTCTGAGGATCTTACGTTGAAAGGCCTGTCTGTAGAATGGCCATCAAGGTTGCCAATGTGCGAGCAACTGCGTGTGTTCTCCATAGTAAGTCCTAACTATAGGTTAATATATAAAATTTGCTGTCATGTTCTAGCGAACTTTCTCCCTACCGAGACTTGCCCTGCCTGATTGTGGATCAGCGAAGCCGCAAGTGAGAACGATCTAATCTAATCGGACCCGCTGATGTGTTCAAGTTTTTCCCCCCCATGAGCAGCATGTCAGGGGTGGACTAATCAACAGCTCTTGGTGTATTGCGTAACGAAACTAGAAACGTTGCCTTGGGATGAATGGAGAAATGGTCCGAAGGTACGCATCGCGGCGAGGTGGAGACTACATGCAGACGTAAGGGAGAGCCGGTCCGAAGCTCGGTATTGTTCTAGGATTACTGAGCTATATTATGCCGGCAGTGGGCTACCTGTAGTTTATCTTGGAAAGCCCCTTTCAAACACCAATATGTCTAAGTGGAGGTGGAAGGGTAACGCGTGAAGAGGGGATAAAGTTATAACAAGGGCCGAGGACAAAATTTTCAATATGCTTATCAGCGGAAGCATGCTAAACTCCGTTGACACTGTCATCTATCTAGTCTCGATTTATAATAGATGCAGCCGCCCTTTTATCACTCAGTCCCGTTTCCCGCGTCATATTTTTGTTCAATAACCGGAGAGAAGCTTTAACTCTCTTGGTACGCGCATCTTTTCTTCCAAATCTGCGGTGAAAGCCATGCGTTATCACGCAATCTTGTGAGTCCCCCTGACGTCCTGGATTCTTCAAACGACGGCGGCTAACCAGAAAAAAAATGCCAGTCTCTTGTGCACCTGGCAGGTCTTCAGCCGCCTCTGCGCGGCGATCCCCGCCGACGGCCTGGAGCTCTCCCCGAGAGACACCTACCGCGACGACCGGGGCAGCTACGACTGCCTCCAGGAAGCCTGTGACACTACCGTCTGCGCGACGGACCCAGACGATGCACTCGCCGTGGCGACCGCCGGGGTGATCCTCTCGGTAGGCCCAGACTGTACGGGGTGGGCTGGTGACAGTCCTTGGTTAGTCACGGACGGCGATCCGGCTGCGTGCCCCGCAGGCCGTCAGTTGTACCGCGGCTGGTTGATGATATGGCGTGGGTGGAACAACACTCCGCCAAAAGAATCACCGACAACCTTTGTGCCGTGGGAGAATTTCAAGGGTGCTACGTGTACTGGCAAGAAGAACGTTGTTTGCATCAAGGGATCTAAGAGGGTTCCTGATCCGAACACTGGAATGTGTATGAAATGGGATCTATAGCCATGAGCGTAGAGGGTAGGGGTCATCCTTCCGACCTGGTACGTTGTTTTGAAAAAAAGAAACCTAGAAACCCTGCCTGCCTCCTGATTAAAGGTTAAAATCAAGGTCATTAATTTCATCAGTCTGTTAGTACTTGGTGTTGTTCCAGCCCCGGTGGTCGGTCGGTGGTGGTTGAGGCGGGTATTGACAGTCAAAACAAAAAAGTCTGCACTCGCACTCTGCCCCTGGGGCCACACAACAAGGATCATCGAAATATGTGCGTGCTTTAACGAACAGCGTTACCTATAATCAGCCGTCTTATTGCCTCGTTAATCACTTTCGAGAGTCCAAAACCTCTACTTTCCTTTTCGTAGATGGTTGTACTTACTAGAATCAAAAACAATATAAAAAGCAGAGGACATGAACACATATCAGCATATGATCAGGAGGAAAAGCCGTAGTAGCCTCAAGAGCGAATCGAACGCCCGGTCTACTCATGATAAGCAAGGTGCTTTTATCACTGAGCCACCAGGGCATCCGTAACCAGATTATGGTTGGTGTCCCGCAGTTGATGACGAACTCGGCGCAGAATGCTTCATAACACTGGTTTGTTGTACTTTCTTACGATGCACCGAATGGTCATCTCAGGGCTCATTTGTGTGATTCGTTCGCGTGGTGAGAGGCGTTATGGCTGACTGACGTCCGCGCGGTTCGGCTCGTCTTTCCGTTCCGCGCTCTGCTCGTTTCGCCCTTCCCTCCCTGTGAAGACTGCCGCTGCCACGGGGATGCCAGCCATAAGCAGCCATGTGTACTAGTTCACTTCAATGCGACCATATTTTGGAAGAGCCACGTGACGACGGCTTATGTTTTGCTTGAAGTAGTGTAGCCGCTGGATGACTAAACTCCAGACGACGCGCGCGGGTGTGGCGTGCTGGTGATTGATGTATATTAGGCCTAATGAAGCACAGGAAGAATCACGTATTGATTGAAAATGGACGGTCTACCTGCCGGCTTAAGAACATGGTAGAATGACTGACTAACTAATGCGCGCGGCAACTTGGGATCTCGGCGGTCTACAAAGGCGACACGCGTGCTGACGTCGAGTATATAAGATGGGCTCCTCGGGGCCACAGGAACATCTATGAAAACAGAATTGAACACCATCCGCCATCAATCTTCTCCCTCTTGAACCAAAGAAACTGAGTACAGTCGTCGAGATGAACGCAGCCAAGAAAGTTGCCGTCATTGCGACAAGCACCCGCACCCCACGCATCGGAACCAAGGTTGCCGACCTGGTTAAAGACTTCATCGCCAAAGACGCCGCTGACAGCAACATCGACTTGTCCCTCGTCGAGGTAGCCACCTTCAAGCTGCCAGTCTTTGACGAGGCAATACTTCCTGCGCAGGTCCCTGCCCTCAGGAACTTTGCCCACGAACACAGCAAAGCCTGGAGCAGCGAGATCGGCAAGCACGACGCCTACATCATCGTGGTCCCCGAGTACAACCGAGGGCTCGCCGGAAGCGCCAAGAACGCCATCGACTACCTGTACAACGAGTGGACCGGCAAACCGATTGCCGTCGTCAGCTACGGCATCTTTGGCGGCAACGCGGCGTCGGAGCAGGCCGAGAAGACGCTCGAGGGCATGAAGCTGCGCGTCGCACCCACCCGGCCAGCCCTCGCTTTCGCCGGCGGTCCTGGCCCGGACCTGATGGCCGCCGCGGGTCAAGGGGAAATCGGCGAAGAGACTCGGGAGAAGTGGGAGGCGGAGGCGGGGACGGTTTTGAAGGCGTTCGGGGAGTTGAAGGAGCTCCTTAACGCGCCGCCTGCTGTCGAAGCTGCACAGTGAGGCAAGTCCGGGTGGCAGATCACACCATACGATGAACAACTGTTAGATAGTGGCTTTACATGATATTATAACCGTTGGACTAGTATGCTTAAATGTAAGCCAGAACTGTCCTGGGACCTTGCCAGTCACCCAACCCATTTCACCGTTGAACTCCACCTCGTAACGTCGCTTAAGAACCCCTTGCAGCAGTATCGTGACCCTCGGGGTTATTGGTCCTGACACTCTGCTGCCTATGGAGAGTTGCTGTGCCGCTTTTCGTGGGCATCACGCTGAAAGATTTTTTGCCACGCTAGTTTGTGCTTCTTTTTTATTCTTTCTTCTTCTCTCATCTTCATCATGCGCTGTTGATCGTCAGTCACTCGTTCTCTGTCCTCTTCATCGTGAGGGCGTCTTCTCTTTTTGCGGCCGCTGCCTGGGCTGCCGTGGCTTCTGTTCAAGTTCAAGTTCATCTGCCGTATGCTCGCCAATCTCACTTGATCGCCGCCGCTGCCGCCGACAGCGGTGTTAAGTCCCGGGCCCCGGGTGATCGCCGATTCATGCCTGAGTCGAGCATCTTGGCCGACGGCTGGAATTACCTTGTCAACGTCTCCATCGGCACCTCTCCGCAGCAAATGTCAAAATGAGACTGAACTTGCAAATCAGCGCATCTTGCTTTACCCGAGCGCTTGGTCAAAGACGGCGTCATCACTTCTCCCGCATACAATCTCTGGCTAGATGATAAGTTGGCCAAGTCAGGCAATCTTCTCCTGGGCGCCATTGACAGGTCCAAGTTCGAGGGGCCCGTTATCCGCATTCCAACCAATACCTTCTCGGCGCCCTCAGCATCAGGGGAAATCAAGAAGTTTGATACTGTCATTCATTCCGCGAATGGCACCAAGTCAGCGACCGACGATATCAAACTTTTGGGGAACGGTTCTCTGTCTTCATCCGAGAAAGACTATTACCTTTACGACATTCGATACACCCTGTCAAGTTTGTACCCGAGAGTACTTTATCCGTCTTACCTCCCGCTCTTGCCCAGGACATTTGGTTTCTTGCCGGTGCCCGTTGGAGTTCCAATCTTCTCCGTACTCTCATACCATGCACCGCGGTCAAGACTTCCACCGGACATATCGTCATGCAACTCGATGGAACCGACGGGCTGGTATTGAACGTCTCCATCGCAGATCTAGTGGTGCCCAGAAGCACGTGGTCTCCTGCAAAAAGACCCTGGGACAACGAGTCGTACACTGAATACTGCTTGTTGGGAATCCAGTCTCATAACTCATTAACAGACTACACTTACATACTCGGCGGCGGCGTGCTCAAGCAGGCATACATGGTCTTCGACCTCGCCAACGCGGAGATGGCCATCGCCCAGACCAAGTTTGACAGCACCGCGACCGAGGACATGGTCTCGTTTGCCACCTAATGAGCCAGCATCCCGGGATCGACACTAGCTAAACACGTGCCCAGCTATTGCTTCGTCTCGACCTCGTCGTAGTGCACTGTTGATGTGTCTGGAGCTGGGGATAGTGGCAACGACGGTAATGGTGACGATGGCTACGGCGGTATGGTGACATCTGCCTACCCTCGTCCATCTCACGATCTATCAAGCTCGGTGTCGGTCTGGGAGTCGGGCTGGTTTGTCTTGTCGTACTTTGCTTGTCCATCTGGGCCATCAGGAGATGCCGTCGGATCAGAAAGGCGGAGGAGGATCTGTCTGAGAAACAAGCAGACGTGGAGCAAGGGGCGGCCGATGCCCAGGCTGGCGCTGGGACGGAGACAACGTGGCCCAATATGTTTGTTTTTCTGCCACAAAAACCACCATCTGCCGTGACGTGAGAGCGCCCCACGACCGATGCGGCCAAGGGACGGGATAATCCCGAGGATGCGGTATCCGCCAGACCATAGTAGAGCAACATTGGTCCCGACAGTCGACATGACTCTGACAATCAGTTCCCCCCGTGCGCTTAAGCATGGGATGTACAAATCAGCCTAGTAAATTTGACACTGTCCAATCCCCGTGCCTCGACTGCTGCTGATACCAGAGTATCGGGGCAAACGACCCAAAGTCAGTTGCTCTGCATGTAACGTACGGGACAGTCCGACACGTTTTCCGCAGCCAGTAACGATGCGAAGCTACGATTATTCAAAGGGGAGGTTGCAATAGCGTCGCGTCCAACGGCTGGACAGATCTATCGCTGCAAGAGTAATAATGCTTTTGGTAGGTTGCCACTGATCAATCTTCATTTGCCGGCATCACTACGTGTAATTTCTCCCACTTCTGCAACGTTGCACATCACGAAGCGCTGTGCGGCTGCGTGAGAGCCTCATGGACGTTCTGAGTGGCTCTGATTTCCTGATATCGACCCCTGATGCTACCCTGCAATATGCAAGAGATCAGATGGCCGCTACGCAGGCACCGCAAGATCTCGTCGGCTGGCCCCTCCGGCAGCCAGCATGGGAGCAACGGATGATGTGCCGTCGCCGCTCTATCGCATCTCCTCCTTCCAGAAGGATACAAGAAGTCCGTCGGTCTTTATCACAAGTAGTGTGACGCCCATGGAGCTTCATTCCCGGGCTTTTCCCCCCTTATCTTGTGTTCTTGGTTGTGTGTTCCGAAGCTGGTGCCCTGGTCTCCGGGTTTAAACGTGGGAATCCGAAAGCCGCCACCACGTCACAAGTCGTCTTGCAACCTCCAAAGCCAAGAGAAGAAAAGCGACAGGCTCCAAAAAATACGCCGGCAGGGAACCATGTGCTCACCTTTCTCCCGCCCTGAACGGGCGATAAGATCTCGTAGTGGAGGGTCACATTCGGCTCCGACTCGGTCATTCGCTGCAAAATCACCAACTTGTAGTGCACATGGCCATCAAGGGTGTCTTCTGAAGAATCTCGGATCTGACCAATCTCGAAGTCTCGTTCACTCTTGCTAGCAACGACAATTTGGCTACACCTGCATTAGCTGTTCGCTTTAGCCACTCACCGGCCACCATCACGGAGCCTTCATCTCTGGTGCTGGCAGTTCTACACACACAATTTGGTGTCGAATCTCCAAATCTTTTCTTGCAACCGATGGTCTTGTCGGTAGGCCCCTTGTTGGGGTGTGCTAACGGTGCATTGGACCGCCATCTTCATAGGTCATGGTCAATTTCACTGCTACCACTTGAACGTGACGCGCTGACGACGCGCTGGACCTCTTCACATGCGCTCGTCAACCCTAGATAGGCCGTTCAAGGCGTCGAGGTCTTTGGTACCGAACTCAATATTCAGATGAACCGTGTGGGAGAATGGAGTAACGTTTCGGTTGAAGTGGACATGAGCTGCAACAGCGAGCGACTTCCAGAGTACGTGTGAACAAGGACAATGGCATTGTTCCTTGGCGTCCAGCTACTCAGGATAGTCGCTTGCCAAAATGCACCGGAGTCGACTAGTATATGATGGTCAGTTGACCACCTCATGCCTAGTGATGTTGAAACGAATCCCAACACGGTCTCTTCCCTCTTCTGGAAACCTATTTAAGGCATCGGTAGATCATTTTCTGGACAAAATGACGCTGTTACGTTCATTACTTACAATGGCTGGCTTGTTATCAGCAGTTATCCGCCCCTCTGCGGCTTCACCAGTGAATTTGACCGAACGCGGCCTGGATGGTTATACGAATGCCGTCTATTTCACTAACTGGTAAATCTGGCACCATCGAGTGGACGAGAATGTGCCATGGATGGCTGACACGAGCAAAGGGCGATATACGGTCGCAACTATCAACCGCAAAACCTTCCTGCATCTCAAATCACGAACGTCATCTATGCATTCATGAACCTCCGTCCATCTGGAGAAGTGTGAGTCTATTCCCGCTCCGACTTTGTCAACGTATTACTGCTGAGGCTAACTCGTAATTCAACTATCAGCTACTCTGGCGATACCTACGCCGACTTGGAGAAGCACTACCCAACAGATTGTGAGACGACCGATATGAATCATTAATGCTCCACTTCGCTGACATTACACGTATCAAAGCATGGAACGACGTCGGCAACAATGCCTATGGCTGCGTCAAGCAGCTCTATCTTCTCAAGAAGTCCAACCGTCAGATGAAGGTGATGCTGAGCATTGGAGGTTGGACCTGGTCCACAAACTTCCCTGCTGCAGCCAGCACTCCCGAGGGCAGAGCCCTGTTCGCCTCTTCATCCGTCAAGTTCATGAAGGATTGGGGGTTCGATGGCGTCGATGTCGACTGGGAGTACCCTGCCAACGCTGACGAAGCTGCCAACATGGTTCTCCTGCTTCAAGCGGTTCGGAGCGAGCTGGACGCCTACGCTGCGCAGTACACTCCTGGCTACCACTACCTCCTCACCATTGCCTCCCCCGCCGGTCCGAGTCACTACAACGTTATGAACCTCAAGGCTGTCTCGGATGTCATTGACGCCTTCAACCTGATGGCGTATGACTATGCAGGCTCTTGGGACGTCAACAGCGGTCACCAAGGCAACCTGTACCCGAACCCCGGCAACCCGGCATCCACCCCGTTCTCGACTGATGCTGCTGTCAATGACTACCTCCTCGCAGGAGTGCCGGCATCCAAGATCGTCCTTGGAATGCCGATCTACGGACGCTCGTTCGAGCAGACTAACGGCATCGGCCAACCCTTCTCTGGTGTTGGCAGCGGCTCTTGGGAGAACGGAGTGTGGGATTATAAAGCCTTGCCGCGCGCGGGCGCGACCGAGCTTTACGACTCCACAGCAGTGGCCTCGTATAGCTATGACCCAGTCAGCAAGGAACTCATCTCTTACGATACGCCTGACGTTGTCAGGACCAAGGTCTCGTATTTGCGGAGCAAGGGGCTTGGTGGCTCCATGTTCTGGGAAGCCAGCGGGGACAGGAGTGACGGCGGCAGTCTTTTGGCGACCAGCTTTGATGCTCTCGGTGGCTCGGGCACTCAGGACAAGAGCTTGAACCAGCTGAGCTATCCCAATAGTCAGTACGACAATATTCGGGCTGGTGTTCCGGGCGGTTGAGATCATTTCTACCTGGGAGTGGGGTTTCAGAGATTGGATGCGGAAGACTGTTCTTTTCTCTTGACACTTTTGGTTTTCTTCATGATCCGCTTGGCGGGCATCTGCATATGCGGCGCATGGTCTGGGATTTTCTTATTCACTTGATGCCATGCAATTAATAATATCAACTTGGTCCTATCCACTACAGACATCCCTTATCTTGGTCCATACTATGGGGTTTGTTCTGTCTATCATCATCTAACAAGCTACAATGTATTCAAGCACTTCATCATATACAGCATCTACTTTTGCTAAAAGTCGTTTTTTGCCCTCTGGATAGGTGATTGCTGAACAACATCAATCCATCTGTGCAACGCCGTCTGCCACCAATCACATCATTCACTAGCAGTCGTATCTACAGCTTGCGTCCTGTTGTAGAGAGACAAAACAGTCTTTTCAGCACCATATAGGGGCACATCAGTCAGACCGATACCGTTTGGGCTTCCTGTCTTGACGAAGTTGGCAAGGTAAGCCTGCAGCGTATGCGCGAAGGACGCGTTCAATGGGCTGCCGGCCCAGCTGGTCTCGTTGTTGAAGCACGTGTAGGGAACGTCGTTACCGTGGTATCCGGGAGGAACGTCGAAAAGTAATTGAAAGCGTTGCCAGCCAGCGCTTCGTAAGCATGTAATTGTTGCAAATGAGCCAGGACTCGGCAAAGACTATAGATGTTCGCTCAAGTGGCAAGAGAATAGGTGACCCAAGTGTGGTCTCTTCACCTCACTGCTCACCCAGGTGTGGCTGCTTTTGAGATGGTTAGGTGATGCCTTGGGTGAGCAGGGTAAGCGATAAGCAGCAACGACACCATCGTTGTTAGTGTAAGAGAGCAGCTACTCGCGAGAGCAAAAGAAAATGGATACGACAGAGTCAGTCACGAACAGAGAGATAGCCAGACAAAACTAGAGAGGCTATGAGAATGGACAAGAGCGCTGCATGGACCAGCGTTAGAGTGTTACGTGACGTGAGTTTAATTCCGTGATGCGACATTCGTGTCCTAACTTTACAGTGGTAATGGGATAAATTTCGCAACGAGGCAATAGAAGCGCGTACCATGCTGCCAGAAATTGAGACCGTTCGAGAGCTCGTATCAGGGGGAAATGCGCCTGCTCCAAGCATGATTGAGATCAAAGACTTTTTCCGATTTTGGATCTCTACGACCACGTCGAAGATGACCAAAAATGGAAAGTCAACAGTAGAGTCGACAATTAGCAAAGCAGAAACATTTTATCGGGCCTTAACAGATGCAACCAAAACGGAAACCGATAAGGAACAGCGTGGCGAAATCTTTCACGTAAGTGCTATGCATTTGTTACGAGGGTATTATGTTATGACTAGCACCTTATTAGTGGATTACGTAGTTATATAATATTAACAACAGTTCCATAATTAAAGTTATACTCATCTTACAAAGTAAGTCGGAATCTTAAAGGTACCGTTTTATAGAGTTAACAATAGCAGTAGATTTACATAAGAGTTTTTAGCGCGCGGGTACCCAGTTAATAGCCGGCTCTTTTAAGAATATTATACAGTCTTTTAACAGATGAGTACCTAAAACAACAATAGAGACATGATAACTTACTAGTAGGTAAGTAGTAATATACTATAGCTCTTTTACAATTAAACAACAACTATCTGTAGCCCTATCTTCAAATAATAGAGACTATAATATCTCCCTTACACAGAACATTATTAACATTATCAAACATAACCCCCAGGATAACTAGGATCTACTACTTCCCATCTTTTCCTTGCTAGGCACTCTGGTCTGTCTAGTAGTCTATCGGCTGTTCCTGCACTGGTGCATCCATCGGTATATACAAAGATTGTAGCCAGTCATCCTTGCAAAGGCTGGTTTATCACTTGAAACTGCATACCAGGACGAAACTGCCGCACGGTATCCGCATTATCCTTCCAAGCCTTGTTTAGCTCCGAGGTGGACCGTGATTCCTCAATATTGATGCTATTGACGCTGAAGGCAACCCAGAAAGTGTGATCGGGGCCTCTTTCCCCAGCATATTCTCCAGCAGCATCCAAGGCCTCGAGGACATCCTCGCGCAAGTCAGTAACATATTTATTTACTTGCGAGACAATATCTCCAATAGTGACGTAGGCCTTTGAGCTTGCGCGGATAATGAGTGGCTGCGGTGCTTGATATGGCATCCGATCGCAGCACTCACACTGGACTTCACTGTCGTCTTCTGGGCGATCTACTGTATGAAGATCTTCCCATGTATCGCGAGAGCCGTAATAGTCGAGAACGTCAACTGAAGTCCTCAATGAGGATATCAGGGGGTTGGTGTACGGCTCGCTGGCGATCGGGTGAAGCGAGAAAGTACCGTCGTCAACCTGGACTTGGTATAGGTCCTGCTCAGATTCCGCATTCGAAGAGCCTTGAAGAACTTTGATCTCGTGAAGCGGAGCAAAGGCAGGCCATCGGAAGCGCTTGAATCCCAAATTGAGAGAAATCGGCTGCGGATGCCGCCGGTCGAGGAACGTCTCTAACGGAGGGTACAACGGCGCGGCCGACGGTGCGGGCTCGGCAGAACTGCCTTGCATTTTGAAAAAGTAAAATTGACTTTGGTCGAAAAGACACGGACTGTATGGTGTTTTAATAGGTATTGAATATTTGGCTGCATGTACTCCTGTCCAATCTTGGCAAAGGCCTAAAACATCAGTGACCCATAGATACATCCCCGTCGGAGCCTCAAGAGAAATGGAATCATGACGCCGGCGTCTATCGCAGTTTAGTGCCAGGCCAGCCTACCCAGGGACGCGAAGTGTTGGGCAATCGCCCATCTAGACGAATGACCGGATTCGACACACGATAATGAGAGCCTCTTCAGAAGATGTTGATATGACTTCTATGGCCAATCGACTGAGGGCATAGCCTCCCCCAGCCATGGGAGTATTGCAATTGTAAACACATGCAATTCTATCTCATTCGCGACGACAGCAGCCTCGCCCAGCTATTTTTATTCATCGTGAATACCAACAATTTCGTCGTCTGCGACAAACCGCGAAGGAAGACGACTCAAGTCAACCGAACCAGCCCAGTCTAGATACTCTATAATGGAGGCTCTTGAGTTCCGAGTTGCTGGTTGCGGGTTCTGGCTCTCCACTCCATTGTCGTCAACATGTACCATTCTTGCCGCCACGTCGTTGGCCGTATTCACCATGCGAAAGAAGAAGAGACCAGCATCGTCATTCGGAACGAAGCTTGCCCCATGCCTCCTCCTGAGTCGACTCTTGAGACGCCCTCTCAATTTGTTGTGGCTAGATCCTTACCAGTCTTGTTCCGACTTCAAACCATCGCAAGTCTTCTGGGGAGCACAGCGGGTGTAGGCTTGTGTGCCACCATATCTAGGCAGGCCGGAACCGCCCTCGACCCATGGTACCGCCGGCCACTCGTCGCAGGTATATGCCAGGTTCGAATTATAGTGCTGTCCGTTGGCGTCCGTATAGCCCTGGATGGTGAATATTTGAAGGCCGGGTGTTGGAGGCAAGACGTTGACTTCCGGCCAGACACCACCGCTATATCTGGGTAGGTGCTGAGCGATATTGCCCGTACCAGCTCGCTCGGGACACCTGTTATTGTTGCTGGACCACGTGCCATTGCAGATCGTGGATCTGCGATCGTCGGCACGGCCGGCATTGAAGTCGTATGCAAAAGCCGTTCGCCATCGCCTGGCGCTTCCAGTAGCAGTACGCTACGCACCGCACTTCTAACCCCCCCCCCTTTACACTACACTACATTTTATAGTGAACGATCTGGTAGACACCTACGTGTCGTGAAATCACACCCGAGCCCCGGGAAATCCAGGATATGTGTTGCTCGAAGCAACAAGCAGCCCAGCACTGCGTTCCAAGAATCCCATTGGCGACTGCGCGCTTTCGCGAGAATACTTCGTTGCCCCAGCGTCAAATGAGTTGGCCAACTTTCTCGGGCTCACTCATTTTCTCAGGTAAATAAATAAATATACATAATGATGTAATTGTTCCTCGCACTGTTGCACAGGGGATTGTGGGAGATATCAGGAATCACCTGACTTCTTTCAACTATTACTCACTTCCGTTATGGTCTTGGCTGCCTCACACCCCTCGCTCACATGAGGCCGTGACCACATAGGCCGAAAGAGGCAACGGGAGCGCCAAGAGAAAATCGCTCATACAAAAGGCAAAACGCTTGCATGGTCAGATTCGGGCATGGTGGACAGCTATTACGTTAAAATTACCTACGGACCACCGCTTCCCCGAGGGAAGCCAACGCACCTTGCCCGGGGTAATTTCACGTACCATGCCAATCGGCTGCCAGGCTTTTGTTGATACGCTTGGATAACAGCCCTGATCTAACGGCCCTGATCTGGCAAGCCGAGCATCGCGCTCCTTAATCCCTCGTCCGAGACATCACATGAAAACAAAATAAGTCGGTGAGGGTAACATGCGTTCACCTTTATATAAACGTAGACCGGGTAAAGCGAGGGAGAGTGATTTAAGAACCCTGCCGGCAGTCGAGAAAAATAGTTGAATTTATGTTGATCCAGCGATAGCATTATTTCAACATCTTCTGGCATTCACTTAGAAGCCCTCCCTCGCATGAGCCCGACAAGCATACCCGATGCTGCTCACGGCGGCCAGCCCTCCCATACTGATTATGAGAAGCATCCTGTTGCAGTAAGAGCAGCAATATGTGTGGCTTTTGCCTTCCTAATCTGCCTCTTATTGTACATGCTTGGGTGGGGGCAAATCAGGAAAACGCGACATCCGGTGCCACCACCTGTCCCACAGCCGGATCATACCCAGTATCAGCACAATCGTAACGTGAACGAGGGACCCGGGATACCGAAGCCAGCGACGCTAACCTGCCGCAAACTCAGCTTAACGGCCGAGGGCGCAGATGCTAGACCTTGCCCTGTTTGCCTGGATGACTTCGCCGCCGGGACAGTGGCCGCGCGATTGCCTTGCGGCCATGTCTTCTGCTCTGCGTGTATCGAGCACTGGGTCTCCAACCATGCCTTCACATGCCCCATGTGGTGCGTCGTCCCGTCCTTGGTATGGGTCATCCTCCGGTGCTAACATCGCAGCTCCTAGTCGGTTCAACCTTGAGACAGGCTCGGCTCATGTAAAGGATTGGCAGCACTGATCAAGCGGCATGGGATTAACGTAAAGATACTAGCCTCGTATCCATTGGCAGACTACGTGGCTCCATCTACAATGCCTACATCAAATAGCGAAGCCCGCCGAGGCTGTTTGCATTGTATATACAAAGGACTGGAAAACATGTACAACAGAAAGTATGACTCTTCGATCACGAATCGCCATCTCGATACAATAACAATTGTTTCCATGGCCGTGCCATTTTGGGTGTTCCCAGATACCAGCCCTAGAAGAAGGCCTCTGCCTCACGACCGTACTCATTTGCCTCCTCACAAAAAGGCTGGGGCCAAAGGCACAACTGAGGCGGCGTTGACGACGGGCTTCCACGTCCAGACTTTCACTGCTGCTGTAGATAAGCATTGGGAATGATCATTGAGTCAACTCTAGAAGCAATGGCAATGCGAAGGACGGGAGCAGAAGATATGACAGCTAACTGCTCCTCCCTAGAGGAGGCGGCGGAGCTAGGTGAATACTCCAACACAAAGAAAACGGCAGACGGTGTAGAAACACGGCAATCATCTCAGAAAAAGTACGGAGGTACTCACATCAGTAGATCCCGTACGGTTAAAGGTCGAGCCGATGGGCCCGAACTTGATGTTGGAAAAGATGACGCTGGAGCCGGGTGCCTGGGTCTCGATGTCGGCGGGCACGCCGGATTCGATACCGCAAGTGCCGCGGACGGCGCCGGGGCCACTGGAGTTGATGGGGTAAGTAGAGTCGAGCCAGAGCATGTTGGAGTGGTGCTATGCAACAAGAGAAAAGAGTCAACAAAGTTCCCCGTCAAAGGGGGCACGTCTCTCCAACAGCGGGGGGGGTGACGTACGTCGTCCCAGACGGACAAGACGAGAACCATGCCCTCGGCAAGGGCCTTGCCCATCTGCGCGAGGCCACCCTTCTGAGCGAAGACGTCCTGGTCGCCGAAGGCCTTCTTCTGGGCGGCGCAGAAGTCCTTGGTGACGGAGTTGCCCTCGACGCCGGACACGGAAGAATCGGAGTTGGCAAAGACCTTGCCGTCCTGGACGTAGAAGCGCTTGATGTCGGAGAGCGCTCCGCCGTCCTCGATGAACTGCGTGACAACCGTCATCTTCTTGGAGGTGTCGATGGTGAACTGGGAGCCCTTGCCGTAGAAGGAGGTGTTGCCCATGCGGTGGCTGTTGAAGTCGCAGCCGTCCGGGTCGCACTGGCCGGCGTAGCGGGTGGCGCTGTACGTGCCGCCGCAGGCGTCGCCCGAGCAGCTCTTCTGGCCGACGGTCTCGCATGGGTGCGGGGTGTAGGCAGCGGCGACCGAGTTGGCCTCCCAGACGTCCATCTCGGAGCAGCAGGTGCCGAGGTTGCCGACGCCGGCGTTGACGTCGGTGGCGGAGGGTTTCCAACCCTCGACGTTGGCCTTGCCGTCGATGAACTTGAGGTCGCGGGGGCACTGGCTGTCGCAGTAGCCGGTGCCGTAGGAGGCGCCGGCCTTGTTGCCCGCGTACTTGGAGAGGCCCCCGTCCGGGTCCATGGAGACAAAGTACAAGGCACCGTTCAGGCCGCACTACGGTCAGTGAGTTAGTGACCCGGCTCCATGTGAAACCGAAGATGGTCTGGCTTACACCCAGGTTGGAGACGTCCACGTCAAAAGTGAATTCCTGGCCCAGGAGCTTGAACATCTGGTACCTGTCGGTACCGTTCATGAGGAACATGCGGGAGCCGATGTTCTTGCTAGAGGGGCCTTGCTGGACAAACTTGAGGGTGAGGGCGTCGCCGCTGGTCGAGGCGCCATAGGTACCCGCGTAGTCGGCGCCGTCAATACAGCACTTGGTCGCACAGTCCTCACCTGTGCTGCCGCAGATGGATGTGTCCCATTTGTTGCCGGTGTAGCAGTTTGTGCTGTCAGTCGTCTTGTGAGTCCAACGCCAGTTGGAGTCAACAGTCACGGCGGCGTCGACCTTGGTGCAGGTACCACCCGCTGCGCAGTTGGACCAGGAGAGGGCGGGCTTGGTCTCGGTGGTGAGTTTGCAAACCTGCTGTGCACCGACAGAGGCCGCGAGGGCCGTGAGGACGGAAACCCTAATACTCAACATGGTAATGTCTTTTGCTTCTTCTTCTTCGCCTCGAATTGTTTTCAGATCGAGAATGGATAAGAGGATGGGCAATGATTGTGAGACACTGTTCAGATGAATGAACGAAATAAATCAGGCGCCGTGGAAAGGGAAATACGAGCGGTTTGGGATGGAAAGCCTGCTGTAAGTGAGGAGCCGACCTAAACACCATCACATAGACTCTTGGGAACTGTTTCGGAATTGTCATCAACGTTGAACTATCCGGAGGTGGCCACGTTAGCGCCCCTCACTTTCTACCTCTTCGCCCCAAATCCCTCGGTTTCTCGCAAGGGGTTGGCTGTGTTCTATGGCGAATCAAGATGTTGTCCACCGGAAACATTAGCCAAGGATAGTACAGCCAGCGAGAGAGACTCTTTAGTCCAGCACGACAGCACAGTCAAGTTCGGATGTCTTCCCGACGTGCCTAAATTGGCCCTCTAAGAGGGTATTAGACGAACGCGATGTGGATATATTCCCTGTGAACATATCGCAGCCTAAGCCTCTAGGTAAAGCTTCGTTCAAGAGGCGCATCTTGGCTTCCCTGTGGCAGTCTGTTTTCGACAGTCTTCTGGGTTTATTTTCCCCACAAAGCCGGCAAGCAGCTCGGTATAAGTGAAAGCTACCTCAAGCGTTCTCAGATGCCATCCCCGAAATCGGATGAGCTCAAGGCACTGCAGATTGCAGTGTCGCGGCATCGTCCGTCTTCTCCGCAAAGCATGGAGCGGACGACGTCAAGGACACTGCGAGGGGTCGCCGGACGGAATATATCTCACCAGCCTCCGCTTGAGCCTCGGTCTCCCTGCCATTGGTCGAGCAGTATACGGTGCTTCTCGCAAAGCTCGGACGTCCGGTGCCCGAGAGGGAGTACCGGCAGCTAGCTACAGACGCGGGTGTAAAGGCGTTGTTGGCGCCATCAGTCAACATACTTGCGGCACTCCTAGAGTTGGTCCCAAATGTGCTGTTAAGCATTGATGGCTTCCTGAGTTAGTTAGACTAACAAGGTCGAAAGCTTCTCTCGCTCGCAATGACGATTACGACGTCCATTCCACCGGTGAAATCGCATTCCGGACTTGAGTCCGCCATGGTACACTTAGGGCCCGCCCAATGTGAGGGGCTTTGTTCGTCGAGGCCTGATGTATGTTGAACGGACCGCCTCTTCTCCGTGGGGAATCCAGGACTATGATTTTCTACTGTGTGCATCTATCTGGTGCCGCTTAGCCTGGTACACTTTGCTGCCCCTTTCTGAAGTTAGGGCTTGCCCGCAGCGGTATCCGGGCTTCTCGGTGGCGGACAGAGGGCCGTAGAGCTAACGGAGCTGCGGGACGCGATCTCGGTCGTCCTCATGTTGATTACGGTGGCCATAGCAGTGGCATTGTGTCACTTTCATATCCAGAGTTGCATCTGTAGCATTACAAAGCTTGGAGTCGGGTTTACTTATATCCAGAGTTGCATCCTGCTGCAATAATAATCAGCGCCCTGACTCGAAACACCCAGGCCACCAAACGCGAGTAGAACGGAGCTCCCTGGGGAATGGGGGATCGGCGTGAGGGATCGACGCTGGAGGACGGTCAACGCCACGGAAAAGTAGGGAGCCGCAGTCTTTGTAGTGACTGTTTACCTCGCAAGGCGTGCGCGCTCAAGCTTTACAACTCCCAGTCGCTGGCTTGGCCAGTCCTAGCTATCGGTAAGTGTTTGGGTTGCCTCGAAAGCGCGGCGGGCGCTTGCTGGACAAGGCGACTCGGCTGGCGTTTCCCGGTTCCAGACACATCGGCCCAAAGAAACACAATGGTGACGCGAAGGCTTCGCACTTTTCGACCTCCGACTAGGCTCGGGGTGTGCGCAGCCGTCTCTGAGAGGGAGCTTCCATGGAAGGTTAAACGGACACATCCGCGGATCACAAACGTGCCGCGCCCAACGAGTAAGTGGTGCGTGACGATATCCCGGTGGGAAGCATTTCGACGATGTTACCAATCTGCGAAACCACACCCGAGGTCGGAGCATGCGCTACTCGTAATCGTTATCGAGCGCGGATGGTGGATGAACGATGGTCGAACTTGCAGACTGGGCGGAGTTTGGGGATCCGGCATCGACGTCCGCTCCACCATATTGGCTTTGCTTCATGGTGCTTACTCGACGAAGCTTTCTCATCCCACCAGGCGCAAAGGCAATCTTCTACAGCCTTAGGATGAGGACGAGCGGTGATACAGTTTGGACCCCGCAGCACAAAGTCACCCCCTGAGACGAGGCAATTGCTGACGACCACACACATCAGGCTCACTCGCGGCGCTCTGTCAGATTGTTGTCAGGCTGCAAGCAGAAAGTCTGCCTTTTAATGTTTGTTTCGAGGGTGAGATATTCGAACTGACTAGCAATGATGATCAACCCTCGGTTGGGGCCGGTCGGAAACGGAATGGAAACCAAAGTCGGGTCCTCCCACGATGGAACAAGAAACGAGAGGGAGTGCGGGTAGCCGGGATGATTCGCCGGCATCTGCTGCAAATCTCGTGTCTATACTGTCCATCATTTGCCCATCATTGAGCGGGCGCCATTAGCCCTAGTCAGGCCTCCCCAGCCTGTCGTCGAAACGGATGAAACGTTGACTTTGGCTATTGGACGCTGAGTTTGGCCCGAGTCAGAAAAACAGAGGGTCTTGGAAACCGAACACTATGATTGAACGTACCTAGTCCGACGCTGTGGACGGAGGGCTTGTTGACTTTCAACATTCGGTTGCAGTTGTGACTAAATACCTACCATACGGTTCCCACGTGCCCGGGGGGCCCCATCTCCTCCGTCATGGCTCCGAAGAAGTCTGCTCAAAGACCGGAGACAATAAGCTTGTTGTCCTTGGTTTGGTCAAACTCCGGGCCTCTGAGGTCTTATTGGCCACGGACCACAACAAGCCGATTGAGGGTTGTTCGTGGTGTCCCTACCCAGCTAACGCAGAGCTTTTTGATATCCGCCTATAGGGCTTAGGATTGATTTTGCATGTAAAGCATGTGAGCGACGTCGGAGTAGGCAACGGTGGCCTTCAAAACCACCCGAACTAGAATCACATGCCTAAATGCAAGCTTAACCCAACCGTGTTTCCTCTCGTGCAGTCTTGGAGACAGATCAAAAACGTCAAGAGCATCCTCCTCTATGAGTGAGTACGACTTGATGATTTCGAGACTTACGGAGTAGAATATCTATCCAACGCGTCGAGCCTCCTAAGGTGTGCGTCTTGTAATTCTACCCAGCCGGATGGAGGCTTACTCATATGCGCACACGTTGATTGCCACCTGCAGCCACCCTGCATGTAGCAGCTCAGGCGCCGTCCAGTTGAGAAGCGTGGCGCCAAGGACGTCATCATGGGCGGCATCTGGGGCGGCATCTGATGTAAAGAGGGACGAAAAATATCGTTTGCTGCGGTACCCGGAGTTGGAAAGTATCTTGATTCGGCCCCAAACCTTTTTACGCGACACTCTCCTGCCGAAACGCAGCGGCAGCATGCCAACCCCGGCCTGGGACTCGCCAGTCGTAAGGGACGCTTCCTCAGACAGGCCTCCTCTCGTGCATCCGTAAGGGCCGGGAAAAGAGTGGTCTGTCTGTCTGTCCCTCGATGCAGTTCCTCTTGCTTGTCACGCCGCGTCGTTACCGGTTTTCCAAGGCATCGTACGACATGTGCCGTCCCATACGCTCGCTCATAGGTACCCTTTCCTTTGCCGTCTATGGCATCATCCATCCGTGCTGAAACGCACGGTTGGCCGTCTAAATGCGGACCAAATGGACAGGGTGCCGGGAGCGTTGGGGGCGGGGGGGGGGGGGGGGGGGGGGGGGGAATAACGACGTTTAGAAGAGGGAATAATCGCCGACTCCCCACCACCACCGGGTTTCAGGAGCCGTGAAAGTCTTTTTGGGATGCACCGCCCTGCATTGGGATGGGAGGGGGAGGGAATATTGTAAGAGCCAAGACACGGGGGTTCGAACGACGCGTCTCATGTCCCCCAATGATATCAATCAGATTTGCCCGTCATCACTCACTGCATCTTCAAATGGCACAGGCAACCTTTGAGAGACGCCAGGCTGATCACGAGGCTCTTTGTGAGTTATTCGCAGTTCTTTGGTTCCTGAACGACGTGCAAGCGAGTAAGTCCAGAAGTCGGGAAGACGACGCGCGCTGGTTCGTTTCGACGTTTAAACATTGTTTTGGAAGTTTGAAAGTTTGCTCATAATTTTACACACAAAAAAAGTAGAAAAGATGTATTGGTCGGTTTAAAAAGAAAAATACACTTCCGCATCCTTCCTTGCCGTCTTCAGCTTTCCCTCTCCGGAAGCAAAGTTTCGCCTCTTGTGAATCTGAGTGTCCCTGTGCGCTCAACGCGTTTTGACGCTGATGTTTCCCCCCCGAAAGAGACGAATTAGAGTGAGGCCGCAAGCAAAGCGATTGGACAAGTGCCGGAGGCTGAAACCTGTCAGGGCGGCGTGGACCGCGAATCCCTTCATGCGGAAACTTCCACCGCGTCGGCCTCGTCGTCGACGATGACATAGCGTCTGGCCCAGCGCAGGAGGCCCTCACCACGCTTCTGGTTGCCGTTGTTGCGGCTGCCACCACGGTTGCCGTTGGGAGCAGGAGCAGGAGCAGGAGTACCGTTGCCGGCACCCTTGCCGACGCCCTTGCCAGTGTTGGGGTTGCTGTTGCCCTTACCGTTACCGGTGCCGGTGGCGGGAGCGTTACCGGTGCCGTTGGCGCCGTTGGTGCCGGGGCCGGTGTTGCTGGCGGGAGACTCCTTGACGACGACGTCGGGAGTGCCGAGGAGCTTGACGGCGGCATCGGCGGCGGCCTTCTGCTCGGCAGTGCCGTCAACCTGGTTGGCCTTGACGGCGGCCGGGAGGTCCTTGGTGTTGCCCTGCTGCTGCTTGAGGATGGTGTCCAGGTCCTTAAGCGTCTTGATGTTCTGAGGAGTGTTGGCGGTAGGGGTGACGTCGGTCTGCTGGATGGGGAAGCAGCCGCCAAAGGGACCAGCGACGGCGTTGTTGCGGCAGCGGACGGTGCAGATGTCTCCAGTGGAAGCTGTGATGCTTGATTAGTTCTCTGTGCTGTTTGCTAGGGATACGCCCACCCAGCCCCCAAAAAGGGCGGGCGGGCCGGCCTCATCGAGACTTACCTCCAGTGCACTTCAGGTCGTTGGGCAACTTGACGGTGATGTTGAACTGCTGGGCCTTGGCCTGGGAGAAGCCGTTGACGCCAGGGACGTTGTTGGTGACCTGCAGGGGAATCTGGCCGCTGCCGCCGAGAGAGTTGCTCGTGGGGTCCAGGTCGCAAGCGTAGGGACCGGCACCGTCGGCGTTGACCTGGTGGATGGTGACCGTGAGCTCACCGCCGGCCTTGACCTTGGTGACCTGGCCGGCGGACAGGGCGTTCTCGGTGTTCTCGCCAATGTCGATGTTGCCGGAAATCTCGGTACGTCCGCACTCGTTCACAATGTTGGCGTTGATCTCGGCGTCGCGGATCAGCGTGGCATCCTGCTGGCAGGGGTTGATGGTTGTGCAGTTGCGAGCAATGTTGGGGTCGACTGGTTTTGGGTGTTAGTGTAAGTTGCGAGGCACGGCGGAGACTCTCTGTTTCTCTCTCTCTGTCTCTCTCTGTCTCTCTCTATCTGTCTACCTCTCCCTTTTCTCAGCGAATCTCATGCATGACTTACCCTTGAAGCCGACGCTGGCGGGCGAGCCTGCATCTCCCTGGGCATTCAGAATGACGCCGTGGCCATGGGCAACGGCGGCAACGGCCGAAGCGATGAAGATGTCCTTGAAAGAAAGCATTTTGAAATGGTCTCGCAGAGACAGAAGTCGGTGTGCCAGCACGATTAAGGAAGGAAGTGAAGTGAAGAGAAGAGAAGGAAAACTGGGACAGCCCGCTGAAAGAGCGATGCGGATGTGCAGAGTTGATATTTGATGTGTGTGGCCAGAGGGGGGGGAAACTCTAACTCTGGACGACGCCGTAAGGGACATCTTATACATGCGCGCTCGCGGTCGACGACCGAAACGGTGTAAACGCTGCCAAACACCCATCAGCAAACAATGTACGCTGATCTGCTCAGATCATCTGCAACACCTCCTGTCGCAAGGCTGTGGTGCTGGGTGGAGGTCGCGACCTGGTCCTGAACCCAACCTTTTTCTTGGCAAGTCTAGGAGACGGGCTGCGGCAGGGGGCGCGGCAGGGGAGAGCAAAAGGGACGAGTCTAATTTAGAGCAGAAGGGGGCCCACGATGGGCACCGCAGTGAAGTTCGCGTTGGTCAGAAACCCCGTCAGCCACCAGTTGTTGAAGCCGTTGGAGGGCGTTCTGGAGTTTGGTCCCGGGGCCCTTGTCGGACGACCGGTCGTGCGTACTGCGAGTGAGTGCCACCCTAGTCCCCATTCAACGGCGTCTAGCCGTGTTTGGCTGGCCCGAAGTGGATGAGAAAGGTCGGACGACTGCGGACTTACTGCCTATGGACCGGGGGGGGGGACGTGTTTCATGGGGAGGCAATAGAAGGTTCCCTGGTAGTGTGTAAGCAGGCGGCTCTGACCACCGTCCAGGATATGTTAGCGATAGGTGATGAGAGATGAGCGTCAGGGGGGGGGATGAAGCATCGATACAACCTTGGACGCTTTAAGAAACCATCTCGCTACGGCCCTGGCTCTCCTGGGGACACCGCCGTCGCCTTCGTCCGTTGTCCAGGGTAAACCCATCTATCCTCGGCCTAAAAGGGGTCACAGATCGAGGGGTGATACAGACGCCAAGCCTTCAAGCACAAAGCGCATGCGACAACCAAAAAATAAATAAAACCAAAGGACCGGCTGCACTCTGTGTACGGTGTGATGAAGCGGACGGGGTTGGCGATACGTGAGAGAGTGAGAGAGAGAGAGAGGGTTTAGGGGCATCGGACTCCTCTTCTCACCCTCATCCATCGTCGTTAACGTCATCGTGCTTCCCCTTTCGTCCCATTCCTAGTAGCACCTCCGTTGACAGTGACAGCCTCGGCGCCGGTGCCCCCTCCCGTCGCGGGTAGGATGTAGGGCGAACGTGGCTCGTCCGGTGTGGGTACTATTATTTTCTTCCTTTCTGAGACCTGCCGCCCGGAAACCAGCCGAGGGGGGAGTGAGGTCTTCATGCTGTGCTAGCCCGGGAAGACTAGAGAAAGGAGGAAGCAAAGAAAAATGGTCATAGAAGCGCGCGATGGGCGGCACGCTCCGACAGGTGATACCCATCCCCCGGACAGTGGCGTTTGGATCGTGCCAGGGGGGGGGGGGGGGGTAACCGTTGGCCGGATCCCGAGGGCAAGAAGATGCGAGAGAGCCGAGCCTCACGGTTCACGGGCGATCGGCTGCCACACGCGACGGCGGGTGAGTTCGAAGATCACCTTGGTCTCCACGGCAGCCAAGGCTGTCAGCCCAAGACACGTTTGGGGAGTGCTAAGTCATCAAGTCAAAGAGTCATGCGAGTTGAACAACTACTTCGTCTGTAACCGGCAGACCAAACAAGCCGCTATACCTTCGTCCCACGAGTGAACTCTGTTCCTGAAAGTAACCGACGAGAGTGAGCCATGTCCGGGGGTGCTAGGGATGAAATTAATCCATTCCATCCACCAGCAATTTGTTTAATCAACATAGAGTACGGATACCGGAGGGCGCGGGTAACTTACAGATAACATTAAGTGCGTACCTTGCATGTAAAACTAGGATTCATGGGCAGACATTGCCTCGGATTGATGCCGCACACCAAATGCGCTGCAACGCTTTCTCTACCCCTTCAGTCTCTCTCTCTCTCTCTCTCCTACCACTTCAACCAATTCAGGCTTCTACCGAAATTGCCTGTCCTTATTCGCACCACTGGACCATGCTCGAAATTCTCCGTAACGGAAAGGAGAAGCGCGAGATCCACAAGATTGCTGCAAGGGGCCAATCCCACCCCTGAAGCGGCCAAGATCATTCGAGCACCAGGGTCCAGGGCCCCCCTCCCTGCACGTTTCACCCTGGCCCACAGTCAGAGCAGGTCGGGCAGATGTCATTCGGTCTCCAACACCGTGAAGTGGGTGGACTGCATCGGGCTACGAATAGAGAGAGGGAGGAGGAGGAGAAGGAGGAGGAGGAGGGGGGAAGGCATCTTTTCGAGACGGATCTGAAGCATCGACATCGAGCCAATAGAGTGTAAAAGGGGATAGTTCGGCGTCCTCGACACTCTTTTTCTTTCATTCTTGCTTTTTACCGCCTGTTTTGCCTTTTGCCTTTTTCGCCTGCTTTGGCTTCGCTGCATCGTCACATAGTAGTACTCGCCTGCCCCCCCTCCCCCCTGGGCCCTGGGCCTGTTGGCTTCTAGATATCCACACGTAACATAACCTATAGGTTTCGCTACCGGACCCCCGTCCTACATGGGTGCGTGGGATTTGGGGGGGAATAGAAGGGAATATGAAGCCCAGAAAGCATTTCCCTCGCCTCGGGCTGCCCTCCGAAGCGGCGAGTCTGCAATCTTCCTCGCCTGTAACTGCCTTGGCACAACCATGCGGCCCCTTTCACGCTGTCAACCGCCCACGAGCAGCGTCACCTCCTGTTCGACCCGCCTCCAGCCCGCCCTTCCTTCATGCGTTCAATGGAACCAATAATCGACGGTGGGGGGGAGGGGGGGGGCGGGTATGCCTTCCTCGTGACGTTGCGTCAAACCCGCAGCTTTGCCTACAATAGTCTTACACGCATGCAGGAGACCCCATCAGAAAAAGAGAAGTGTCGGCGTTGCAGGCAACCTCATCAGTGTTTGACAGTCTAATGTCTATCTTTATGCTTCATTGCTATGGTTCTTTGCTATGGTTATTCCAGGCCTGGTCAGCGTCGGGATGAACCGCGGGTGTCTCGATGTGCTCGCGAGCCTCCTGCTTTCGCTTGTAGTCCGACCTGAACCTGCGGTCCCGCTCGTTGACGTACTTGTCAAAGTCCAACTGGCCCGGCCTGGTGAAGCTGGTCATGAGCTGCGGCTCGCCGAGGGGCAGCCGGTGGCCCTTGTCGACCTGCCAGAGGTGGTAGACCTTGCCGTAGAGGTGGACCACCTGCTCCATCTCCTTGTTCTCCGCCGCCTCCCAGACGGCGTCCGGCAGCGTCGCCTGCGGCATGATGAGCATGCCCGACTTGACCTCGTACACGTGGCTGTGCCAGAGCTTGCGCTCCTCCGGCTCCAGCGTCTCGTACAGCTTGGGCGTGATCATGTACTCGATGCCGATGATGCGCGCGTTAGGCTCGGGGCTGTCGTAGAGGATGCACTGCCGCACGTCCTCGTTCAGATGGCCGCAGTAGTGATTTGCTTCCACGGCACGGGAGGGGTCCGATGCGTAGGCATGGAAAGCGTTGAGATGGGCGCAGATGTTTTTGAGAGGCGCAAAGTCCTATGACAGCGTCAGTTATTGCAGCGTCCACCTCGATTGAACATCAAGGGTGGGAGGGGCATAACCCGTACCTGAATCGCCGATGCACCAGCCTGGAGCACGTGGTTCTTGGTACTCAGCGGGTCTCCGGCGTTGGAGTTCGGCTTCGTTGTCATTGTCTGGTCGTTGACTAGATCGCAGCGTTGCATCTATGAAGAAGAGGAAAAAGAGACGTGGCAAGTTGAGAGCGGCTTCGGCTATCACTTGACAGAGATTCTGTTCCGGTCATGTTTGCCCATGCCTTCAGCATTGGTCGTACGGCCATGCCTTTTGGCGTTTAATATTATTACTACGTACGTACGGACTTCCCTAAAATCTAGGTATTCGGTTACCATGCTTGAGAGGACGAATATGTCTTTTTGACGTCATATCACGGGCGGCAGTTCACGTATTCTCCCCGCCACATGTCATCATCATTGCTGCATCGCTGCCTCTCCACTCTCTGCGCAGACCTGCAAACTGGATTGGTGACAGTCCCCCCCTAACCATTATCCGTAGACATCTGCACGGGACGGGGGAATATTTGCGAGCAGAGGCTGCATCAATAGGGGGAGCATTTACTCTGACTAGTCTCGGGAAAACCACGTGTAAGGGGCGGAGTCACTCGGCCGGCCCCCGCTCTCTGATACGGGTTTTCCCGTCTCGTCGTGCGCCTGCTCCGCGGTGCCGGGACCCGATCGGCCGGCGCCGAAGAGGGCTCGAGCATGCCACGGCATGGAGCGGATATGGCTGTGCCATCCGTCTCTTTGATCGACCATTCTGATTCATGTCAACGCTAATCATCTCCACCGATCGTTTGAAACAAGGCCGTCCAAGCTTGATCAAGTCTTTTTATTGTCTGTCGCGAAATGAGTTATGGCCACACAAAACACCATGTAACAAAAACGAAAGGAAAATGTTTCTTTTTTTGATTCTTTTTCTTTTCGGTTGTAGGTTCGATATTGTGTCGTGATATGGGATTTGGTCGCATATGGCCAATTACAGAGCCGATTTTCATCATCACATGCTGCAGTTTTTACTTGGCCAAAGTGAATGGTCTGGTCTGGCTGCTCGAGCAACGGATGTCACGATGCCTTTATTGGCAACCACGTCATCCGTTATCATAGAAGTATTACCACGAATCAAATTGGAAGTGATGTGCAGGGAAAGCACATGGGCTATCGGGCCGTAACGACGCAATTCGGCTGATAAACTCGTCTAGGTTCGGCTTCATGGTTGCTGCCTCGGGCCTGCGACTAGTCATGACTCGGCAAAACCTTGACGTTGTCGAAGGTGTCTGTCTTGACTCTTGCGGGGAGCTTCTATACAACAGTCAATAACCTTACAGTTCCAAGACCAGATGATTGGGTACCGACGCACCGTGTTCCCATTCCACCTTCAATGGAGTCTCCGCCACTGGCGATCGAACAGCCGGGGCGGACGGGAACAGCCTTTTTGGCCCGTTCACGGCTAAACCGGCACGAAACATTTAGACTCGCCCGGGCTCCGGGATACCACGCAAGCGATAACTCAAACCGGGGTGTTGCTTGCCACGGGGCTCGCAGACAAGGCTGTGTGCGTGTGCCTCGTCAGTGAACAGCCAAGACCAAAGGCCACGGCCATATCAAAAACGTGCGGCAAAGTGTATTTGACACTCTTCACAACATTCGCCAAAAGTCTCGTTGCGAGAACCTATCTTACTGAGCATACGCTTTCTAACGACATCTTTCATAGGGACGAGATTGCCTTGGATCGGTTTGATGTGACACAATGTGGCGTGAAGTCTATTGCTGAGATTTGACGGGCTTAGGCTCTGCCGTCGTGGGTGTTGCTCTGTTACAATCCTATTTACACTTTAATGAATACACTAGAGCATTGACCTTTATGAGCTCAGACCCGTTATCACCGCCTCAGCTTGCAAAGTTAGTAGACTTGTTATCGCATCCAGATACAATTTTGACAAGATTAAAAAGTGGTTTCAAGACGCCTCAATCGTCATTTTGAAACGGTGCTGTTGTAGGCTTCGCAGGAAACCTTAACCACTTAGTCACTCCCGAAACCTCTCACTTGCGGCGGACTTTCTACAAGCCTGCGACGGAAGCATCAGGTTTTTCTTGCCGGACCAAAAGCAAACGTCAAACTAGGGATGAGTTGTCTGCATGGGCCGCCTGCAATGAGATGATTGACATTTGCCAGATCGCACGAGATCTCTTATGGGTCAATGGCAGGTCTTGGAAATCATTTCTAAACCAATTGCTGATGACTGGAGGGAGGCTGTGGAATGTGGCTCAAATATTGGTCATCCGTGGTCCTCGGCAAGCAACAGTTGTTACCTTGAGCCTTGAGCAGAATGGTCCAGCTTGATGGCCTCATCGCACTGAACTTACATGTCCTCGAATGCCCCTTGGACAAATATGCCCGCGACTGAATCCATTTCGAGTGTAAATCAGGGTTTCATCTTGAGGACCATTGTCTGCGCTGGATAACGGGATACAGAGCCGACTTTCTGGCCAGCAAAAAGCGGATTACGGAAAGAAAGCCTCTCGGCAACATTATCCACTCGAATTCACCTGTCTGTTACCAGTTCAACCTCTGTTTGGGGACTCATGCTGACGGTTTTCTCGTACCGCTCTTCCAATAGATTTGAAGGTGATGTTTCCAAGGGAGAATGCACTGAATGCTCGGAGCCGCTACACAACGCGCTACGCTGCACATTCGAGGAAACTAGCAACGATCCGATTACCAAGAGGACAATTTACAGCGACATAGATGATCCCGAATGAAAGTCAAGGGCTTAAGAAAAATATAAGTCACGTGGCGCTGCAGCCAAACAACAAGCTGGGAGACGCTGGTAATGCACCGCGATGGCTTCATGGGCGACACTTGTCTCATGATATGATGCGTTCTTGTCGTCACGATCGCCTACCGGGACCCGCTTTACCCCGCAATATATGAGCCTCTGTGTGGTTTGATGACGATGGGTCTTAGTGAAGAGCTGGAAACCCCTGGGTGAGAGAGTACGAGTCCGCGAAACCCATCTGGTCAGCGATCTACGCGAGGCCTGCAGTCAATCACAATTGTGTCAGTTGCGCCCGTCTCAGCATGATGGCAAAGGTCGGTTCAAGTGACCACCGAGAGAGCCAGTACAGTGCCCAACGTCGCGTGGACCAAACGCAACAGCGTGGGCCACGACTTCGCGCCACTCGACAGTAGAACACCCGGTGGAAAGGGGTTAGTGGGAGAATCGTCAAGGCGAGGTCGCATGCGGAAGTGGCGTAGTACGCTAACGCAACGGTCGTCGATCGTTCGTCTCGAGGGGGGCTGGCTTCCTTCGGGGCCGAAAGGATACAACTTTACAAGCCCCTCACCTTGGAGCGACAGAACGATCACCGTTAGCCTCGTCAGCGAATGTTGCAGCTAGCCGGCGGCTTTGGTATCACCAGCCATCGCAACCACTTGTTCGCGGATTCACAAGCTGGCGGCGCGTACGTGCAGATTCCCAAGGACTACAGCGAAATGCCGTAAGATCGGAACGGCATTCTCATCGACGAAGGCATCGACCAAGACGTGCATGGATCATTTGATTGCCAGCCATATCTGACCAACTTGGCCAGCTGTTTATTCATATCGTCCCCGCGGAGGAGGTGTCTGCCAGTCGATCGGATCTGAGACGGGGTGTTCCTGATCGGTCTTTTAACCGTGAAGCCACCCAGTGGTGGGCCACCACACACTAGTTTTTTCTCATGGCCGACGGCCGCGAGCATACGGACTACACGTGTACGTCAGGATGTCTAACTGTCTCCCCACATTGCGCATAGTACACATTACTGTAAGGAGTTTGGGTTGGCTGGAGGCCTGATGCCATTTTGAGACCACCGTCGACAACAGCTTCTGCGGTTCTATTCTCAATACCAATCAATACCTCACGTACAGCCTACTTGCACAGTAACCACGACCGTCACGCATTTCATGCAAGCTGCACTTGTCTCTGCTGACGCAAATGTAAATGTACCTGTATATCTGCATAACAGAGTGGTTCAAGCGTCGCGAATACGTAGGCCAGGTCAGCAAGATGAAAAAAGAGAAGAAGCAAAATCAGTTTTCTTGGATGAAGGGAAACAAGCTTTTTTTCTTCGTAAAATTGAAAAAGAAAGAAAAAAGAGGGGGAGGGAGCCTAGATGCAAACCACAAAACAAATGCGTCGCCCACAGGATTCGAACCTGCGCGTCCGAAGACACTGGCTATCGGCTCTCCAGGATGTAATCCCAAACTAGCAGGCCAGCCCATTAACCACTCTGGCAAGGCGACTATTGTTGACTGGTGTCAGCATAATTAGGTATATGGTCCACTACAATGCTAACGCTTGGTTTATGAGAAGATCCACCCACACAATACCAGAAAAGGAGGCGGGGCATACTCAGCGTACATTTACTGGCTGGCTGATGCATGCTGTTCCAAGCTAGACTACTGTAAGCACTTGTATAATCTAGACAAAGCTAAGAAACTCGCAGAGATCCTATAGCAGCTAGTGGATATCTGCTGCGCTAATCCTAATACAGAAAGCGGTCAATCCATCAGCCCATCCATCCCCACTTGCCTACCAGTACTCCGTACTCTGTAGGTACGGAGTACAGATATCCGTACTCGCCCTTTATTTACTGTTCTTACGCCTTAACTTCCTGCTGACGTAAATAACTAACCCCTGCTTTTGCCTTTCCAGATCCCTGTTTCTGCCAGCGCACTATACCCCTCACAGCGGCCGCAATACCCCTTACCGTTAGTAGGCTTCTTAGCTTTGTCCGGATTATACGAGTGCCTACGGTATACCCGGCAACAAGCGGGTACCTCGTCTGGAGTACTCTTCACAACGCTGGCCATTTGAAGGATTACCGGCACGTAGAGCACCAGTTGGCAGCTGGGACTGACCCTCGAAGATGGTGCAGTCCAACCGGCTTCATCAGCCTCGGCCATGCCTTGCCTGGGGCTCGTCATACTTGGCATAGTGCCATGTGCGTAATGACCGTGTGAGCATTCTGGTGCAGTGCCGGATCATGCGGTGAGAGGCAAACTCCAGCGACTAGCGCCCAAAAACCGACAGCTTTCTCATTCTCTACGGGGGGGTTCGGCAGGCAACTTTTCGGTCGCAATGCCGGCATTCACGATACACAGTGCGGCACACCTCCAATTGATGCAGAGCGTCCGGATCGGCACAAGAGTAAGTAAGGTTGGTTAGCCTGCGTGGTAGTAATGACCCCAGTGGCACAGTGAATCGCGCGAGATGTCCCCCGGCACGCTTTTCCAGCTTGGTTCCTCTTTTGCGCGACTGGTATAATTGATCAGAACTCAAAGCCCGGAGAACCCGTCAGATCGTCAGTCGCTGCTAAGAATAGACAGCCACGGAAACTTTTTGAGGATCCAGCCATTCCGCTGAAGCCGGTCGTGCGCCGATCGCTGTTGGAGAGGCGGAGCCTGGCTTTATACGATGTAATTAATGCCCAGGGAGACACTGCGGACCCTGACGTCGTTGGATCGAACGAACGCAATTTTAGTAAGAACTAGCCACAAATATATCAAGCTTTTTCGTGGTCTCCATTCCGTGTCTTGATGGAAATACATAATATCAGACAAACTCCCAGCGTTGATCGAGGCCTCTTGTATACAGCATCAAATCCAAACACAGCCTGCTCAACACAACTCTCTCGCCTCAACCACCACACGAAAATACCACACTCTGCACTCAGTCGATTACAAAACACCGGCCAACATGCAGTTCCGCGCCTCCCTTGTTGCCGCCGCCGGCCTGTTCGCTATGGCCAATGCCCGTATCAGCGGAATCGCCTTCCCCGAGACCGTTAAGGCCGGTGACCAGGTCAATGCCATCATCGAGACCGAGGGCTACATCCAGTCCGTCCAGGACATCGCCATCGCCTTCGGCATGGCTCCCGAGACCTCCGCCCACCCCGGCACCCTCGGCCAGAATGTGCTGGGCTCGTTCTACCTCGGACCTGGTGCGGATTCCCCGTCGATCCCAACAGTTGCTGAGCCCAATGCTGACAATCGCATACAGATAAGTCCAACACTGTCGAGAATATCACTCAGTCCGTAACCGTCCCTGCCGGTCTCGCTGCCGGCCAGTACGTTTTCGCCGCTGGCCTGTACAGCTTGTATGGTGCCTCGTCGTCCACGACCTTGTCCAACTACAACGTTACCATCACCGTTGGCGACGCGACGAGCGATTCCTACGTCAGCAGCCGGCAGTAGAAAGAGCTCGGGGAGTTATTTGAGCAGCATGCGCATGTGGCATGAAAACAGCCCTGGAATTTGTCCGCCTGGATGGATAAGTTGCAAGTCTTACGGATGGATCATGACGGCCAGTGAGCCGTTCCGACAGAGCGCACGGCACTGTTAATGTCGTGACAATCAAATGAATATTAATGACTCGGGCGTTTGTAGCTTGAGCCCCTTGCGACTAGGCAAAAAATAATGACTATTCCAACTGTTAATGCGAAAGCACTTGAGGTGTTTCTCAAGATTGGTTGCTATTACAAAGCATTGCAATTCAGCTTGAAGAATACCAACCAGCCGGACCATCTGTGACAGGTTTTAATGTGCCATCGAGTCATGTGATTCCAACCTTGGACTGCAGTGTGTTGGGGAGTCGCATTTGCCCAACATGGACCGTCGTCGTTGTTCTGATTGACGCCATGGTCTTCCGAAACGAGACTCGCTATATCTCAAAACAACCCTCGCTATATCTAGCGAAATCCCTCAATACATTGATATGCGTGGCGAGAAACCAGTGTGGATCTACAATTACATTGTGGCTTATATACCTAGCGACAATACATGTATAGAAGAAAACTTTGATATCTCAAACGACCATTTTGTAGGCAATATCTAGGCTGGAATTGAAATCGGTACTCGGTCTATATCCCATCAATGTCGTACATCGGGCTGTCCGGGACTTCTACTCTGTGGATGGAGGTCTTGAGCAAGGCAATACCGCTCAACCTCAAGAGCAACTAAGCGCAGGTTTTCCCTTGTGGCAATAACCCAGTACCGTCCCTGGAGTCAAATCTTGAGAAGCGGAGCACACAACTGGGATCTCGATGTACCCACTACCACCCTGAACTGCCACGGGTGGATTCCTCGAATATGCTCATCTGCACGTTCAACGGCCATGACTTGACAAAGACTGGCCAAGTACGGGGTGTGTTCGATGTTCGTTGCAAAATGCTTCTCTTCCTCCACTCCTGGCTTTGTTACATTGAGCGGGTTGGTCGCGAGCCAGAGTAAAATGCTCCCGACACATTGCCGCCCGGCAAAGTGTTAAAACCTGCTTAATATAAGGCTTCTTTGTGCCCCATCGCTTGAGTCAGACCGCCATCGAATCCCCCCCTTCAGAAGCAATGCCTACGAACCGGGATCTAGGGCTACGGTTGGTGATGTTCGAACTTAGTAAAACGGGCGATAGGCGTAAGTGTGTGTAGAGCCTCAACAGAGAGTTGTTTATCAAAACGAAGATGATAGCATCACGACATTTACCACCTTCCAGTTAACAGAAAACGTGTTATTCGTACAGAAGAGGTCTATGTTCGTGGTGCATGTTATGCACGCGGATGTCACCGATGCAGAAAGAATGGAGTATCTCCATGCCTGGGACGCATGCGATTGGTTGAGTTACCATCCTCTGTGCGTGCCTCATACAGCTCAATAGGGCCGAGTTAAGATGAACTCGCCCTTAAGAGTTGGATCGAGATCTGACCCCAGGTTCTTCAGGGGTTAGAATGACACACGTTTCAGTCTAGATGTGCTCGACTAGACCGTGATCTGTCAGTTGATTGGAATCAATCGAAGAACATCACCGGAATTCTCGGGATGACTGTCACCTCGCTTGAAATGCAAGCCAACAGACTGTCCAACGTCAAGCGCTCTAGTACGGATACACTAGCGTGTAATGCTGCAGCGAATGGTCTGGTATTTATCCACGTGCGCATTGCTGGCAGTGTCGCATTGCTTACGAATACTCGGCGTGATTCAATCCTACCATTAATTTCCCACTGATCGAGACAGGGACGCCCAGGCCGCCGCCATGAGAGCCTTGACTATATACCGGGACATATATTCAGGTACATTAACTGTCACAAACTAACTTTGTACTGTTCCTGAGATTGCTATTTGAGACGGTATCGCAGCTGGACGGGGGACTTAAGCATAATCAACCGGAACAGTTTCTTGAGAACACATTTCATTTCGCGGTATGCCGAGCACGCAACGGTGCTCCAGTGTCATCAGCCTTTGGACTCTAAGAACGCATGACATTGGTGATCTAAGTATCATGACAATACGCCCTTGGACACATGAGAGATGTAACAGGGGTACAAATGTATGCCGCACCGCGTTGCTTCAATGCTACATAACCTACCTACCAAGACCACGGTTTGACGAATTTCGCCAGGGATGCACATAGACTCTTCAGTCCAAGTACCCACCCTGTAATCGCTCGCGTACCTCCGCTGACGAAAAAAAAAGGGCTTGGCGTAGACGGGCGGAATCCCGTCACCGATGAACCCAGTAGCCCGGATGAACCCAAGGTGAAGATAGAGCCTAGTTACAAGGTGGTCTCTCTTGAGGTTGCACAGTCGCGAATACAAAATAAACCAAGGTGAAGCTTCAGCAACGGTGCCACCTCGACCTTCCGAGCCAAACCTGCCTTTGGGGGGGGGGGGGGTCTGAGACCACGCGAGCGACTTGCGCAAAGAAAAGTATCGCACGTACATTCGCCCCCACGTTCTCCAAGATCTTCTACGACCGTTCTCTATACCAGGAAGGACATCTGGCAAAATCGGACGCGGATCAAGGTTCCGGTGACCAATGTCACCTCAATATCCGAGCGCGAGCTACCTAGACTGATAGGGGTCGCGCAGTCTCGACTCTCCCGGACGAGCGATTCGAACCCTTGTATTTGGTATTAGGATGTCATCTCATCTCCAGCCACCTGAGCCATTGGCGAAGGAACGCTATCAAAGGTGCCTCCATACCGCACGCATGAAAACAGGTTTTGGTGGGTTTGGACCCTCTCTCTGTGACGAGCATTCCCCTGCTCGATCTCAAGTGCTTGGGTCTGACGACGAGAATACGCGTTGCTGGTGGGGGTTATCAACTGTCTGCTGAGGGCGGCGTGAGCAGCTAGCTATTCCAAAATCTCCAAGAATTAAAAATTGTACATGTAGATAAGGCGGTCCCTTGTAGGGTTGCACCGGCACACGATAATACAAAAAGATACCGTACTCTAGACGCCCTCTTCCGGCTTGTCTCAAGAGGGTTTCTTTTTTCTGCTTGTCTTTGTGCTCCTGTGATCGCAAGGTGAGACACCCTCGCGTCGACTCTCCCAGCTAAGGTTTCGTTCTCGCTGGTAGAAAGGAAAAGCCCGATCTACAGCATTCTTGCTTCTTCATCCGCCCAGGGGGTGGGTGTGTCACTCAGCCATGACACCTGCCTACGACACCGATGATGACGCGGCGACTTTCATTCAATCTGCGAACGTCCACGCTTCGAATGCCCTTCCCCCAGGGACCATCGACGATGAGCTGATTTCCAAAGTTCTGCCCCATGCGGACGAGCCGCGGAGCGTCCTGGGCCAAGATTTCGAAGAAAACTATGAGGATTACCTTCGACGTCAACCCCAGCCATATCTTTCGAAGCCTAGGGGTTTGATGCCGGTAGATCTTGAAGATTTTGAGGACCAAGCCGATAACTCCAAGGATCCGGCACTGGAGAAGAAAGATGGGATGAGTTCGACGGGGCCGCGTAAAGCTGCCCGTCCCGGACGAGAGAGCCTAGAACTTCGCCGTCCTTTCTCTCCATTGTCTCGGGCAGACATGGTTCCCCAAGGCACTGACTCTCGCTCCCAGACTAGGCCTGAAAGGGAGAGCTTGGCTGTTCCCAAGCGTCACTCTTCTCGCCCGGATCGGGCTGTCAAAAGCCCTGATCGGATGGCCAGACAACGCAACACCTCGGACCGCCCCCCACGCGCCGACGAAATCGAAGCTGCCAGGCGGCTTTTGGCGCGGGCTGCCGAAGTAGACGGACGCACCATCCGAGAAGAAGGAAAAGAAAGTAGAGAGGGGGTTCGCTCAGCAACTCCTCCGCCCATAGGAAGTCGACGACGTCGCGTAGTCATCTACGACGACTCGGAGGAAGAAGAGGAAAATGCCGACGACCGTGGTGACGAGATCGACCAGGACTATCACGAGTACCACAATGAGCATCGCAATGGCGACAGGCATAGAGACGTAGCATCGACGCCCGCGACTTCCCCCTACCCATCGGCCGAAAACGGACCTCGGCCCTCGAGGGCGCACCATCGATACACCCCCGATCATCCCACATCCTCAAGGACGTCGTCGCGACAGTCGTCGCAGCCGCCGCCCCGATCGCGTGTTGCAGAAAATCTCACCGCACACAAGCGAGAACTTCGCACGCCCGTGCTGGACCAAAACCGCTTGTACCTGGACGCTGAGCCGCCGGCAATGGGCCAACGACACCCACGCAACCAACAGCCTCTCAGACCAACATACAGGGAGATGTCAGACGAGGAAGAGGAGACGCTTCGGGACTACAGCGATAAGGGTGGACTGGATGCTACGTCGACACTGGATCACCGCCCTGCGAAGACCGGAATGGGGTCAAGGAGCGATGATTCCATGTCAATCTCGAAGCAATCGACATCGAAACACAGCATGATGAGCAGCGAATCTGCCCGAGGGATCGATTTTTTTGGGCAGGGCATCTTCCAGGTCGTTCTTCATAATCCGATTACAGTGCACCAGCTGCTGAAGTTCGCCGAGGCTCGCTTCTGCAGCGAAGGTGTTGAATTTCTCAGAAAGGTGAGCAGAAACCGGTCTGGAATCGCGCAAGGGACTCGGTAACTCACCAGGTTGGAACATCACAGCTAGAAGAGTACCAAAAGGTCCTGAATGACCTCACAGGCGTCATGACGACCATACGCAAGGACTTTCTTTCCGATGACTCCTCGAAGCAGTTAAACGTCAACGGGGCGCTGCGAAACTCGGTTCACTCGGAAATGAAATCGCTCGCCACTAAGACGCTCCCATGGATGGAGACGCTTTTCTCGGACCTGCAAGAAAGTGTCGAGAACGATGTCTTCATGGACATTTATCCTCGTTTCGTCCGGCATCAAATGGCATTGAGCGCCACAAGAGCGTTGGCGACCAACTCTCGCACCTATCAGGGTCTAGGCGACTGCTTCTGCCTCACAAACCCAGGGTAAAGACCTTCCGTCTTTTTGAAATACTGTTTCGCAGAACTGACCTATATTGGATGAATAGTCTTGCAGACAATCCGATTGTATTTGCTTCGGATGGTTTCATCAAAGTCACGGGCTACACACGGCCTGAGATCATTCCCCGGAACTGTAGATTCCTTCAAGGAGCCCATACCGATCGGGAACCGGTCCGGAGGCTGAAAACTGCGATTGAAGCACGCAAGGAATCAGTAGAGTTGCTTCTGAATTATAAGAAGAACGGTGATCCGTTCTGGAACTTGCTCTACGTTGGTATGTTTCCCGGCACCAACCACTGCATACCCTTTTCATCATTTTCAGGCAACCTCAAGGCTAATCCCAACATCCTTCAACAGCGCCGCTATACAACGAATCAGGGATGATTTCTTTCTTCATCGGCGGCCAGATCAACTGCTCTACGACCATTCACACCAACGCAGACATCATGAAGGTCCTATCGTCTTCAAGCAAGGACGATGTCGAAGAGGCAGCCAAGAAACCGCCAGTACTGCATCGATCAACGTCGGCCCCGTCAGCCCGCAGGGCCTTCCTGAAAGCTCTCGGGGTAAAGGTTGATGATAGCGCACCGAACAATTCTGCTATCGACCCGGGCATGGAGAGCAAGTTGCTCCACAAACTGGAGGGGAGAGATTTGAACTATCAGATGAAGGAGTTTTACACCGCGTACTCCAAGGTAAGCGAAATAATAAAATTCTGCGGATCCCCAACACATACCTGTGGCTGACTTGATGACGACAGTACTTGGTTGTGGCCTACGACTCTTTCATCATCAGATTCTATTCTGAGGGAGTCTTAGACATGCTGCACCCCGCTAACAACACTGTTGGTTTGGTGGCTGGCCAAGATGTCTTCCGTTTCCTCAAGCAAAATATGATGAATCATCAGTCCGATTACAAGGCGCGTGTGCGGAATGGCATGCGTGCTGGGGCGCCAGTCAGTCTCGAGGTGCGTCTTCAGACTAGGCGCAGTGCTCAGTTCCGGGGGGACGAGAAATTCATGACACACTGGACGCCTCTGAAGGATGAGAAGTCGGCAGTCCACTGGATAGTCGTCACGATGGCACCAACGATTCAGTGATATGGGAGTGCGTACCGAAGCAAGGGCGGATAAACAAAGGGAGGGAAATGAAAAGGTCTGCAATGAATTGAGTGGATTTTGGGTGATTGATGCGAGCAATGTTGGAAGCAATACCCCCTTCTCAAGGCTCTTGATACGGCCAAGTCACTCTCGACGTATCCTTTCTTGAAGAATGTTCCTGTTATGATTGCAATGCAGTTGTTTTACAATAGCTCTCAAGTAACCTCTAGACCCAGGATTCACTTTCTTAATGACACCTTCTGATTTACGCAGCCTTATAACCGAGACATCACCCACGGATGATAACAGGCGCACCGGAGGAAACTCATAGTCTTCCCGTGGTATGGCACATGATAATCCACCTGACAGGTGCTGTATGAAGCTACCGTGACACGCTGCTCCACTAACTCTCATGTCTCACTATTATCCTCGTCACGTTTCTACGACAATGCACTTCATATTACCCCTTGGAATGCGCGATTTCAGGAGTGAATTACCAATTGAAGTCACAACGTGCTCCATTGTTAAATATGCTCGCCTTGGCCATTGCCACTGTGTATCAAAATGCGACTAGAAGAGTCGGTACATCTAAGTGAGAGGCTTACAACGGCTACTATTTCGGTTTACCATAGTCTGTGAATGTCTTATAACCACCCATCTCCATAACTGCTATGTTGTATGATAACCTCAAAACCCCCTCGATTCGACGGCCGAATGGCAAACCTCTTAAAAAGATGAACACGGCAGTGCTCGCAACATTCCACCCGAAAAGAGGAAGCAGGAGCAGATTTATCCATAAGAACAATATTGCTTCAATCATCTCCAGAAAGATGGATGTCTGCAAAGTTGGGCCATCCCTTTCGGGTGTAATTCGACGAGTTGGTCCACCAGGTGACTGTATCATTCCAGACATCTTTGTCAAGGCAGTCTTACTTCTCGTCGAATCTGCCGCAGGCATCGAGAGTACTGCGTGCGATCTGGATAATGATAGGAGAATGAAAGAAACTCTGCTTATTACTACAGTCAGACCTTTGGGACCATCAGCCTTTCGATGGATCGGATTTAAGGGTCACGTTGGAGTCTTCCCTCGAAAAGAATGATCTGTTACTCACCAGAAATATTCGCCGAATGGCTATTTTGACGAGAATTTGACAATTTCGAGAGATTTTAAAGCAAGATGTTATCGATGTGTATTCGGTATCTTACAGCTGTTCTTATAATGGAGCTCAAGTTGTGTTTCAACAGGCAAGAGTGAGGAAATCTCTTTCAGACAGACTCATAGACTGTTTAGAGGGTAAGCTGCCCGTATTTTATGAGGCCTGTCGGGATGATGGTTCAGTTGCCATGGCATTTGCTTACTACCAGCAACGTGATGGATGCGTTGATTACGAGGCGTGACAGGAGACGAAATCGCATCAGCTGACGCGCACCAGGCGCGTCGCCTAGATTAGAGAGCGCCTAGATTAGAGAGATACTTCGTAAGTGTGGCACAGCTTGAGAAACGAGTCTCACGTATGACATAGGATTGCACTTTTGAACCATGTAAGGTAGTTCAATACCGTCTCCGGCCGTAATCTTGTGACAAGGTTGCTACATGCAGTTTACAGTGGCACAGTGTACATGTGATAATCAGCTGACGTGCCATCACAAGACCAGTGAGTGACTGTACGGATACATCGTCTGATGCTCAGAACGTCCATGTTTACCGACCCAGCAGTCCGTACCCTGGTGTCAGCGGTTGAGATTCACGCATGGCGCTGTGTTATTTTCATCCTAATACGCCCCCTTCCTGTGCGGACAAACGGTAATGGACCCTAAGCTAAAAGGCGGGTTTTGGAGATTGTCGCCACCAGCTGATTGCTACCCGGTAGATTCAAAAGCGTCTTCTTTTACCTTTTTAATTATGGAAACGCCCCGTGCATTGCAAGTAGGCAAGCTGAAGTGGAGGGCCAACCGGTCATTTATGTCTTTGATCGTTTCGAGAAGCTACAACGTATCAGTATCGCGATCGCCCGGAGACTCGACGTCGAATCCTGTTCATTTTGGAACGGAGAGCCTGAAGAATAGGTAGGCGAATTTGGGGTGCATCCCTCAGAGCAACTGCATGTATTGATTATGACCGAATTCAAAAACTTTGAACATCAACATAAATACAATCTACTCCTCCCCAGCTGGTTTATGCCGCATATGTGAAGCGCACCGTCGTGATGGATTCCGAGTCTGATAGGCTAACATGCCCAGACCCACCCAATACCGGAACGACGCGTCACAGACTATCATTGACCTAGCTGAGCCAAGACAAAGACAACAATCTTATGACCGGCCATTCATGAAGCAAATGGAGGATTCTGGGACTCGAGAGCGGTCTCATGAGAAATATGACAATGTTTAAATACCCAGATTGTATCAGTATGAGACGTTCTAGCGTGAAAATGCTACAAAACGGAGCATAGGTCTTCTGTGCACCTGGGGCTTAATTCAATGACTCACAAGGATACTCCCTAGCAACGCTAAACCCCAACCGGCGGAAGGCCTTACTACAATCATTTTTACTGGAGTGTTCCGAAACCGAGTAACGACTTGGTCAGATCTCACAGACATCACTGCGAAAAAACGCGCGAAGTACCGTCATGGAGAACAGACGGGCTCAGCGAGCCACAGCTAGAAAGCCTGTGCTCTTCTTGTAAATTGAGAACTCTGTAGGGGTCTTGAATTCGTTACAAATGGCTAACGTGCCACAGCGACATCGACAACTGCCTGTATTCGAGAAGTGAGTCAGCAGTCACTCCCTGATGCGATGGTCTCAAGAAGTTAACCTAACTGCCACAAGGCCATAAGATCCACGATTTGATGGCGAAACTCATTGACCAATACTTCATGACGCACCTCGCCTTGCCTGAAGAGGAAGCCTCGCGGTTGACCAGGGAATACTACAAAACATACGGCCTGGCCATTGAAGGACTGGTCCGCCACCACCAAATCGACCCACTGGACTACAATACCAAGGTGGACGATGCTTTGCCTCTGGAAGACATCCTGAAGCCCGACCATGAGCTCCGAAAGCTCCTGGAAGACATTGACAGAAGCAAAGTCAAAGTGTGGCTGTTCACCAACGCCTATGTTAACCACGGAAAGCGCGTCGTCACTCTGCTGGGAATCGACGATCTCTTCGAGGGCCTCACATACTGTGACTATGGTCAGCTCCCATTTGTATGCAAACCGGCAAAAGAAATGTTTCAAAAGGCTATGGATGAAGCAGAGGTTGAAAGGGCTGAAGATTGCTTCTTCGTTGGTATGTTAAGCTGTAACAACGCCTTGCGTAGTCTGTAGGAGGCTGCTGACGATGCGCCCTACAACGTTCAGACGATTCATACGATAACTGTAAGAGTGCATCGGAGCTCGGTTGGACGGCAGCGCACTTGGTGGAAGTAGGGCTGCCTGAGCCCGAAACCAAAGCGTCCCAGTTTCAGATCCGCCATCTCCAGGAACTGCGCATGGTTTATCCGCATTTCTTCAAATCAGCCGCCGTCTAGAACGTTTCTTCGCCGCAGGCTGGTAGAGTAGTAGTAGATGGTGTTCTGATTGGGCTTATGAGATCAGTAGAGAGAAGGCTGTTGACCAGGCTTGCTGATGCATTTCTTAGATTTGCTCGATCGATCCACGATTCTATCTGTGGAAAGACAACAAACGAACAGACAATGAGATGTAGAGGCATGCTTTACAGCCATTGGAACTATCAATCCCATTAATGGGCCGATAAATGCGTAACAAAACCCCGTTTTAGAGGCTTCCTGGAACTGGCCGTGTAATTAGTTGCCACTATACGTATATGCAATAGGAAGCGAGATAAAGGACAAATCACGCCTGTTAAGGTTACCTCGGGACCAAAACATAACGTTTGCACACAATCTTGGCGCACGGGTTGCATGGTGGCAGTACGCCCGGAATCGCGATGCCGTACGTTGATCCGTCCATACTGACTCAAGACCAAAGTATATGTTTATGATGATGAAATCGACTGCATAGTTGTTGTCAGGCCCCAGCCGCCCAACCCACCTCCGCACCATTCCTGTATCTTGCGGATGTCTCCACTCCGTAAACACAGACGGCACAAACACACGCGAACTCGGCCATTCACTGAATCTCCATCGGGGACATCACGGCAATTCGGGAGCTCTAGATCTCGCCACCCCAGACGCTCACAGCCTGCAAAGACTGGGATCGGCCCATGAAAGGTACCAGTGGCAGCTGGCAGCACGCCTGTAAGCTTACCGGCGCACCTCACCGAAAGAGCCGAGCTACCCGTCAGTTTGTCCCACGTCATGTCCCAGAAAACGACAAGCTTCGCTTGCGAACGATGCCGGGCAGGGAAGCGAAAAGTAGGTTCCGTGGCATTTGTTGGAACAGCTCGTCTATTCTAACCCCCACGGGGACGGGTCCATCGCCCCCCCTGCTTGTTCCTGTTCTCGCAAAGTACTGTCACTAACCAATCCTTCCATGGACAGTGTGATGCAGCTCGCCCTGCATGCTCATTGTGCAGCAGGCAGAATAGGCAATGCGTCTACACCGAGCAGCGCCCTAGAAAGTGTGTTGTCATTGATAGGCATTGCCATCTCCCACTGGAAAAGGATTCCCAATGATAACCAGATACTTGGCTGACATTATGTTGTAGACGCAAGTACTGGGACGAAGACTATGTCAGAGCCCTTGAAGCTCAAGTCCACTCGTTGCTCTTGGCTCTGGAAAAGCAAAATGCCGGGAGTGAGCCATCACCGGCGCTGAATTTGTCTCCCCGCGCATCACAATCAGGGGAGCCTGATGCCGCCGTGAAAGAAAACCCCGATGGAGGGAACAGTACTGCAGGAGACAATAGCGTCGAGGACGTAGGCCCTAACGTGCAGGATGTTTCCTCTCATGAAGGCAACGGCAGCAGTGCCGGGAACGACCCATTGGGACAAGACAGATCTCAGCTGGCGATGGAAGAGCTATGTGTGATGCTTTGGAGAATCAATGTTGGCGATGGAGTGACCATCATCGACGATCCAAAGACTGGGTCTCATTACGCGGTTGAGGCTATGCAACAACCAGTGTCCCACGTTACTCCCACAGAACATGTTCTCGCCTACTGCCGCCAACAGGGTCTCGTGGATGAGATGGCGAGCCTTTTTCTGAAAAACATCAATCGGGAACATCAGTTCACGCCTTACACGACGCTTGACTTCCTGCAACGTTACCCCTATGAACCTCCCCACGAGGCATTGTTACACAGTGCCATCATTGCCACGGGCGCAACCTTCTCGCGAAGGCCTGATGCCGTGATCATTGGAGACGCGTTTGCGGAGTTTGCAGAGAGTCTCATCTTCTCTTGCTGTCGACAGAACCCCACAGTCAAAGTCGTTCAAGGTCTAACGATGATGTCCTGGCGCTCGCTGGCCTTAGGCCGAGACCATTTCTCATGGATGTATATCTCCATGGCCGCCGGAATGTGTGTGTATCTTCGGCTGCACGTCTTGGCCCTGGAAGAGTGTGAAGCGAGACAGTTCGATGCCAACGAGGAAGATATCCGTACATTCTGGATGTTCTACATCGGTGATCGGACCGCCATCTCTATCCTGGGCCGGAATTGTGCGCTTCCGTGGAGGAGGGTCAATGTTCCCAGCTTCGAAACGACGTTTGAGAGCCCAACAGCAGACATATATCAGTTATCCTTCGCATGGCAGTGCAAATTGTGGTATCTCCATGATCAATATATGGATCAGGTGTAAGTCTTGTCCCTTCCAGGCGTCCAGGAACAGAACCCGCCCCAACTGACCATTTCCAAGTTTTTCAACGTCTTTCGAATCTCTTCCGGTATCACAACAAGTGCGAATCCTCGTCGCAAGCCAGGAAAATCTGAGCACATTCTTCCGCTCTCGCCATGACCGGCTTCATCTATCAGGCGATTCGACTCCCAAGCCGGTTCTCCAATTTCATCTCGCATACCAAATGACGATCCTTATTACCATGCCACCATTCCTACGCATGTTTGCCGCCATCTCCCGGCCTTCATCAACCTCTGAGACTGGGAACGTTGCCGGGCCGAACTCAGAATTCATCCTTCTCGTTCTTCGCTCTCTCACGATGGCCGCAACGGCTGTTGCCCGTCTTGTACGCACCTACCGCCGCGGGCATGGTTTCGAGGAGCCTCCAAATCCGGTGATTGTTCATCACCTCCTCAGCGCATCCGTCGTCCATCTAATGAATGCAACAAGCCGGAATCCAGCCCTTCGACACCAAAGCACGTACTGGCTCCGTCAATGTCTCGAGCTTCTGCGTGAGCTCCAAACATCATGGCCAGAGCGTGCAAGCAAAAGCGTAATGATCATTCGCATCTTAGCTCGGCGTTGGGGAGTCATGAGAGCTTTGCCGATGGAGCCCGGTTACCAAGTCGACCCTGCAGCACCGGGAAGTGAGAGAGACTTCCGCGAAGCTGGTGTGCCTGGGTATAAGACAGCGAAAGAACCCGAGCCGGGTCTGGATATTGTCGAACAAGTACAATTCGAATACGAATGGGATGGATACAGTGTCCGAACAAGGAATGCGTCGCCAGTGGACATTAATACTTTGGATATGGATTCCTACGCGTCACTGGGAAGCCTTGACATGTCTTTATGTCAAGGACGGATGGGCCAGACAGGCCAAGCGCAGGTTAAGCATCACATGACACTAAATAAGCAGGGTGTATGGCGCGAGTGCGCAGGGCGCACAAGAGGATCACGTGCTTAGAGGGCACACAGAAGCAAAGCAAGCGCGCACACACTAAGAATACTTAAGAGAAAAAAGAAAAAAGAAAAAAGGGAGTAGCTTTTAGCTTTAGTAATACTATATACCTACTTTTACACTTATAGTATATTTACTTATTACTTTAGTTACTTACTACTATTTAATAGTCTAAAAGCTTTACCTAAATAACTAGCCTAATAAGTAATATACTTATAAATACTTATTATATAACCTAAGAGGTAGCTATACTTAAGTATAGTAGTAGTAGCGCCTAAGTAGTAACTAACTTAACTAGTTATTTTTTACTTTTTTTATTTATAGAAGGAAGTACTTTAAGAAGCTATAGCTTGTCTTATAGACTTACTATATTAGTAAAAAAAAAGTAATAACTAAAAAAGAAGCTTAAAATTACCTATAAGAAGACTTAAATTTATTATTAGTATAAAAAGCTTTTATAGCTCTAAAGTAGTAGTTATACTCTTAATACTAGAGCTAACTATATAATAAGCGTAGATAATAAGCTATTACCCTAAGACTAAAGTAAGGCTTAAGATAGCCTAGTAATCCTCCTAAGTACTAAACTAGATAATAGTTTATACCTATATTAACCTTTATCCTTTTTTACACTATTATATAATAAAGAATTATATAAAGACCTCTAGGTCTTTTTATTTAACTACTATATACACTTTATACTATATATAAAGTAGTTTTATAATAACTATAATAAGATAGTATATATAATAAGCTACCTTAAGGGCTATATAAAAAAGAAATAAATAAGGTATTTAACTAA